CCTCACCTCACCTCACCTCACCTCACCTCACCTCACCTTACCTCACCTAACACTCACCAGGAGCCGGAGTAGGCGGCCTCGCAACAGCAGCCCGCCTCTCCAAAGCCGGCTTCAGCGTCACCATCCTCGAGAAAAACGGCTTCACCGGCGGCCGCTGCTCGCTCCTGTACTCCGACTCCCAAACCTACCGCTTCGACACCGGGCCCTCTCTGCTTCTCCTCCCGAAACTCTTCAAAGAAACCTTCCACGACCTAGATACAAGTCTCGAGGCCGAGGGCGTGCAGCTGTTGAAATGCGAGCCGAATTACAATATCTGGTTCGGGGATGGGGAGAGCTTTGTGCTGAGCACCGATATGGCGGTCATGAAGCGCGAGATTGAGAAATGGGAGGGCAAGGCGGGGTTTGAGCGCTGGTTGCAGTGGTTGGGAGAGGCGCATCGGCATTATGAGGTTAGCGTGACGGAGGTTCTGCATAAGAATTTCTATTCGGTGGTTAATCTGCTACGGCCGAGTTTCTTGCGGAGGTTGTTTGAGTTGCATCCGTTTGAGAGCATTTATTCGCGGGCGGCGAGGTATTTTTGGACGGAGAGGCTGAGGAGGGTTTTTACGTTTGGGAGTATGTATATGGGGATGAGTCCGTTTGATGCGCCGGGCACGTATAGTTTGTTGCAGTATACGGAGCTGGCGGAGGGGATTTGGTATCCGGTTGGAGGGTTTCATGCTGTTTGTCGAGCGTTGGCGGGGATTTGTGAACGTCAGGGAGTGGATATAAGACTCAGCACGCCGGTGAAGGAAGTTCTTACTACGGAAGATGGGAAGACGGTGACGGGTGTACTATTGGAGAATGGAGAGGTGTTGGAAAGTGACCTGGTGGTCATCAACGCGGATCTAGTATACGCATACAGCAACCTCTTTCCCCCAAAAGCCTCCTCAACCTCAACCAAACTACAAAAGTACTCCAAATCCCTCCAAAAACGCCCCGGCTCCTGCTCCAGCATCTCCTTCTACTGGTCCCTCTCCCAAAAGGTCCCCGAACTCACCACCCACAACATCTTCCTCGCAGACCAATACCGCGAATCCTTCGACTCCATCTTCGACCGGCAATCCATCCCCGAAGAACCCAGCTTCTACGTCAACGTCCCCTCGCGGATAGACCCTACCGCCGCCCCCGACGGAAAAGACGCAATCGTAGTACTCGTCCCTGTCGGACATCTCCTGAACTCCTTAACCTCATCCGGCCACGGCGTCTCCCCAGAACAAGACTGGGACAACATCGTCTCCTCCACACGCACCAAGATCCTCACAACGATCCAATCCCGCACCTCTTGCGCCGCTCTCTCTTCTCTAATAACACACGAACAGATCCACACGCCCTTAAGCTGGGAATCAACGTTCAACCTCGATAAAGGCTCGATTCTCGGCCTTAGCCATTCATTCTTCAATGTCCTGGCTTTTAGACCGAAGATCAGAGCTAAAGGTGTGAAAGGTGTGTATTTCGTAGGCGCGAGCACGCATCCGGGGACGGGGGTGCCGATTGTGCTTGCGGGGGCCAAAATCACTGTAGAAGAGATCTTGAAGGATTTGACGTTGCCGGTGCCGTGGGGTGGGAAGGTGGCTGTTGAGAGGGATGAGGGCGTGGTGCAGGGGAAGGGGACGGGAGAGCTAGATAGGGTGAGGAGGGGAGGCGCGATTTTGAGTGATCTGGGTATCTTTGTGTTGGCGCTGGTGGTGTTGGGGTTGAGTTTGGGGTATATGGGGAGTGGGTTGGTGGTTAAGTGGGATCCGGAGCTGAAGCCTAGGTGGGGGAGTGGGAGGGTTGTTGGGAGTGGGGTTAGGATTGGGGAGTTCTGAGCTGTGAGTTGGAGGGAGGGGTAGAAAGTAATGTGTAATGAGATGCCCAGACCACTTCTATGTCGGATCAATTGATAGTATGCATAGTTGAGACAAAGGTGCGTGGTATACGAGTAATTGAATAACAATAACTACATTGTATATTAGAGCATTGAATCTGATACAGCGACAGCTTCGAAAGTCTAGTTTGTAGCTAACAGTTCTATAAAGTTTCTCACACCGAGAGTGATATTCAAGTATTCTAGCTTAAAACGCCATTCTCTCCTCGCATAGAACAACAACTTCATCCTACCTCCAAGCCCCCAAGCAAATAAGTAATGGTAGAGCTCAACAACATAACGACTTCATTGCATAATCAAACATCAATATTCTTGATTTTTTGAAGTACGGTAGTCTGCCAAAAAAAAAATCCCACCACCATCTTAACTCCTGAGATGCAAGTACAACAAAATCTCCTCCAGCCAAGTGTACCTTCCTGCTCTCTATAATTCACATTCTCAGGGCTAGACAGAAATAAGAGGCCGAACCGAAGTTGGCACGGTACGCATATTCGAAGAATTCAAGTTCTTGCCAATATTCTGTTGAGACTGTATTGACATCCTTACATGTAAAGTTTAAACAGCTTCTAGGGAAATGCTGTTGAAAGGTTTTTGAAGATTTGACAGATTTGAGCAAGGGAGGCTTTTGGGGTGCACTCAGCCTTGTCGTTCCTTGCTCTCAAACACAAGGCTGAAGCAAAAACCCCAAGCCAAGCAAGCAAGAAGTAAGTAAAAGCAGCACCTTCCTCTCTCTCCACAGCGATCATAACCCGAGACGACTATCTATCTCATGACTCTGATCGAGTCTACTCGGTATGCTCGGGACCGGCACTCGTGTTGCTTGATCTAGCATCATAAATTCCTGAAGCGTATGGGAAAGAAGCTTACCCTTCTAAGGTAGTATTCTCCCCTAGCTTGCGGGCTTGTGAATGAGCTAGGAGATTGTGAAGAAGCTTGAGAAATGCTTGTTTTGATTTGGCGCTTACTTGAACGCATGTTCAGGATGAGCCAAAGATAAGCAAACGCCTTCTGCATCACTCCGTCTTTAGACCAGTCGTAGAAGAGAAGCCAAATCACGTCAAGCTCGATACGGTAGCATGTTTTTCTCCGATGCTATGCGATCTCGGCCGACAAGCAAAGCAAATGACAACAGAAGATCTATTGTTCGAGACCTACGGATTCTTCGGGGGTCGTCTCCTCTCGTTTATTTGCAATTCAACAGATCTAGATTTCTACCAAAATTCCATTGGTGGGACTTGGTCCGAGCGAAACCTGTAAAGAGCGAGAGGGAGATTTTGTATGACGTCTCAGATATTGGGAGTTGGCGGGCACTAACTAGCACGCAAAGTGCCGTTGAACGAGCGGTCTGAGTGCCGATTTTCGCGAGCATCAGGGTTTGTAGATCTTCATATGGGAGGGAAGCAAATTTGAGTTGTCAGGTGAGGGAGGTCGTGCTTTGAGTTTATGTCAGGATGCGGGGAAGGTTGGAGTCAAAGTCAAATGAAGTGCAACGTGAAGCAAATACAGACAGGTACAGATGAAGATGTGAGGTGTGTTGTACCACCGTATCCCGACTTGGTGTGAGACAAATAATTTCCGGGGCAGCAGAATCTCGTGGCAGCAATGGAATGGAGGTGATTACACGACAGCATCGTGGAATCGGGGCGGCCATGGGACTTTGCAGATTGCCATGCTGTTTGTGATGGAGCTAGGAGATATGTACAGGGATGATGGGGCAGGGGTGGCTGCGATCTAAAAAGGCTTGATCGTCGACCGAGATCGTGGCTGCAGGGAGGAAGGCTGAAACTGCGACGACGTGGTCCTGAATGAAAAGAAATATGTTTTCTTGGTTTGAGGGGAAATGCTGGAAGGAGAAGATGATTGACAGTCTGATGAGGAGGTGAGAGGATGGATAAATTGATAGGGGATGATTGGACTTCCAATCTGCGAATCTGTTGAAAATTTTCTTTCGAGGTCGGTGAAGTGAAGTGAGGTGAAGGAAGTTTCTCGTTTGCGGCGGGAGAGCAAGCGAATGGGCCTGAGCCATCCCTGTACAAATCTCGACTCTTGACGGCACCAACGGCCAACTGAAGCTTGACATCACCAAGTATTCCAGACTCGACGACGACGACGTCTCCGGGAATACAAACAATTGTTTCATAGTGCGCCACACTTGTATCGATCGTCGTTGCCATCTGAGCAAAGTAGCTAGCTGCGTTTAGGAAGTTCCCGGCAACTACGGAGGAAGAGATTGACAGTCCTTCTTGAGATGTAGGATGACGAGACTTACGAAGAAGCTTGCTTGTCAGATGCACTTCACATCTTTGCCAGATGTAGCCTTGCATAAGCTCAGAATGATTGGTCACAAAGTGGATGAGCAGGAGCAATTGGAGAGCCGCTCGGATGCAGTGCCGTTTGATGTTGATTGCTGTGAAAGAGCAAGGAAGAGTAGTGCAAGCCGCTTTCCACCTATCTGAAGTACCGGCTGGAATAGCTGCGGGCAAGTGACTCGAGTTGCACTACTGTAATGTTCCCAGATCTTGGCATTTATTCTGCAGCTTTCAGTCTAGTTAAGCTTGAATCTTGATCCCATGCAGAATCTCTCATCTCTCATCTCATTTGCTTCGAAACCCGCGCTTTCCCAATCTGGTGGGAGAGTCCATATCAACGTCATTGCTCTTGCTGTCCTGCACGTCAACAACACCAGAACGGACCTTCCCACAATTGACTGAAGTCTGGTCTTGGCTCTTCTTAAACTGCTTCTCGTCGCTCGTCTGTTTTCTCTTTCATACATATACAACAACATCCTCTTCGCTTTAAGGATTAACCTTTTGGAATACTCTACCCTCATCTCCTACATTCGAGCATCGAGGACATCAATCAAGATGATGGAGAAGCGAACCAACGATGCGTTGAACGCAAATCCCGACGTCTTCCTCTACCCAGCAACTTCGCAAATCAACATCACCACTCATGGCTCTGACTGGTACTGGGCTGTCACTGCTGTGATGGTTGTTTCCACCTTTGCCTTCATCGGCATGAGCTTCACAGTCCCACGTCGCAACCGCATTTTCCACTACATCACTGCTGGTATCACCCTCGTTGCTTCGATTGCCTACTTCACCATGGCTTCCAATTTGGGCTACGCTGCCATTCCAGTCGAATTCATCCGCAGCAACCCTAAAGTCGCTGGCATGAATGGTATGAATTACCGTGAGATCTTCTACGTTCGATACATCGACTGGTTTGTCACTACACCAGTAAGTTCTACTTCCAAATTTACCATCTGCATCGCTAACAATCATGGCAGCTTCTTCTCATGGATTTGCTCCTCACTGCTGGTCTCCCGTGGCCCACCGTCCTCTACACCATCCTCATGGATTGGATCATGGTTGTCACTGGTTTGGTCGGTGCTCTTGTCGCTTCATCCTACAAATGGGGCTACTTTACATTCGCCATGTTTGCTCTGTTCTTCATCGCCTACAACGTCTGCTATGTTGGTTTGGCTCACGCCAAGGCAATTGGTCCCAACGTCCACAGAACATTCCTCATGTGCGGTGTCTGGACCATTTTCCTTTGGTTCCTCTACCCAATTGCCTGGGGATTGGCTGAGGGCGGCAACGTCATTTCTCCAGATTCTGAGGCCGTCTTCTACGGTGTTCTTGACATTATGGCCAAGCCAGTCTTCGGTGCTATGCTCCTCTTTGGCCACCGCAACATCGACCCCGCTGTTCTCGGACTTCATATCCGCGACTACGAGGACCCAACCGCCACTCGCCGCACTGAGAAGAGCAGTGCGCTCGGAGCCTCTGATAATGGTGTTGTCGACAGCCATCACCACAATGGTACCAACACGGCTGTCGCTGGTGACAACGTTACTACCGGCGCACCAACATCCACTGGTACTCACCCTCAAACTACTGTCTAAGCAACCGGATTTGCTTTCATTTCGGGCTCGGCATGCGATGATACCATCTCTTACATAATATCTGTCAGGTATTCTGACTAAACATCTCCTGGCCTCGGTCCTGGTTGATGTTGTTTTCACTTGAAAGTCCTTCGCGGCTCTTGAGTACTCGTGTATCCTTTCGGTTTGTATTTGCGTCAATGTGGGCGCCTGGTTATGGATTATGATTAGATTTAATAATGTTGTAAATAATTATGACGAGGAAGAGAGGAGGAGGGGGGAGAAGTATTAGTCATGAATCCACTTCAATATCAAACACTATCCATTGCATGTGACTTCATTCTTTGCTGGTTTTTACTCGAGAGTCCGACTTGACGACCTTAACTTCTTTCCAATCATTGACATAGTACGCGTGACTTGATAAGAGGGCATCCTCCCCAAACCCCATTTCCAGCCATTTGTTCCAAAGTCTAGCCTTCCCCTGCGAAAAGAACTCATCCTCTCTCTTCGAGATTGACACAGAAATATCATGTGCCGTGATATGATGGCGACGAAGAAATCGGAGGACTCGTGGTACAAGAGAGAATTTGAGAAACAAATTCTGGAGAGATGTGAAGGCGTTCACGGGAACTATTCGTGCCTGTTTATTTTGTGCTCTTCACTGCCTCGTGGGGTTTTTGGAAGAAGGGCCATTGTACTGGATGGAGAGTGGAAGAGTTGTGTTGATTTGGATTTCGGGGTGGGGGAGGGGTTAGGAGTTGAGAAGTGGTAGGTAATAAGTCACTATTCAGAGGGGAAACCAAATGAGAAGGCAAGATCACAAGCAAAGGAACCAAGAGTTTTTGTTTGCGATAGCATAGCATTTCTAAGTACTAACTACGGCAAGCAAAAAAAAATTTTCCCTGTCTAATTTTCCAGATATTACCCTCTCGCACCCAGATCCAGACATCCATGCGCCTTCTATGCCATGGCCGGTTCCTTCACCGTCGGAGATGCCGTGTAAAATCCTTTTTTTTTTCTTCGTCTTGTCTACCACCAAACGAACACGCAAGAGAAATTAAAGAAGGCGGGAAGGAAGTCAGAGCATTTGAGGTGCAAATGACAATGACCGCGAAACGATGAGAAGAAGAGGTGTTGTACAAACAAGCCATCTGCTAAATCGATCTCAAGTCTAGGAAGACGAGAACGAAAATGCAAATGAATGTTGGAGAGAGGGAACCAATTACCAGGCACTGTCGTACTTGGCGCCGATAGGATTGCCCCAATCGTCGTATTGAACAGCAGGCTTGGCTGGTGCGGGCTTGACTTGAGGAGGTTGTGGTTGAGCCACTGGGGGTTGGGCAACTTGGACTGGGGCGCTCGAAGGAGGAGGACCAGCCCAGGCTTGAGAAGGTGGGACTTGGGATTGTGCAACCTGTCCACCACCGTGGTTGGCAGATTGAGGGACGAAGGCAGCGGTTTGTCCACCCCATGGGGCAGATGCGGCGACAGATGCAGTTGGAGGCATGCCGTAGGATTGAGCACCGAATTGTTGGCTTGGGGGAGGGTGATCGAATCGTTGGGTAGACGGAGGCATACCGGGACGACCATCATATTGTTGACCGAATTGTCCAGCGGTCGGGGCCATACCGGGTTGTTGACCATTGAATGGTCGTGCAGCTGCGTTCATACCGGGTTGTCCGCCAAATTGTTGACCAGGTTGACCGAATTGTCCTGCAACAGAAGCCATAACGGGTTGTTGACCATACTGTTGTGCAGGTTGGGCAGCCGGAGATGGACCACCCCATCCAGCAGAGGATTGAGGAACTTGGCTGGCAACCTGAGCACCATGTTGAATTGGACCTGCACCCCACTCAGAAGCAGGTTGAGCGACAGGTTGAGCGACAGGTTGAGCGACAGGCTGGGCAACTTGAACTGGCTCGGGAAGAGCAGCCCATCCACCGGAAGCCAAAGGAACTGCAGGCGCAGCATCAGGGTGAGCTCCCCATGCACCAGGTGCGGTTCGCTCGGCCCAAGCACCACCATCAGCAACTGGCTCAGCAACTGGCTCAGCAGCAGTCTCAGCAGTAGTTTCGGCATTATCAGTAGAGCCCCAACCACCGTCAGCGTTCTCCTCCTCTTCATCAACCTCAAACTGAAGCTTGGTGATGTCACCTTCGCCATCAGCAGTGAAACCTTCAGGAAGGTACTCCTCGAGGAAGTCTGGGATCTTCTGGTGAGTCTCAAGAAGAGTCTTGACCAAAACCTCAGCGAGATCGGAATCACGGCTGTTGTAGAATGAGGTGGCCAAGCCCAAGTTACCAATACGACCAGTACGACCTGCGGAGATGTTAGCATTGCTTTGAAGTGTCGTGAGGATGAACTTACCAATACGGTGAATATATTCTTGAATGCCACCATACTGAGGAGATGGGAGATCATAATTGATGACGTGCATCACATTATGAATATCCAAACCACGAGCGGATACACCAGTCGCAATAAGTAAAGGATTCTTACCCTTGCGGAACGAGCGAATAGAATCCTCACGCTCACGCTGAGTACGATCACCATGAATCGAAGTGCACGGAAAGTTGAGGTTGAAGAGGAAATCATCAACCTCGTCAGCCGTACGCTTTGAGTTAACGAAGATGATGGTACGAGCAGGAGGCATCGACATTAAAAGATCGACCAAGCATTGGCGCTTAGCATGAGCCTCAACATAGACAACCTCTTGCTTGATATTATCATGGGTAGAACCAGCGCGGCCAACACGAATGCGGACATGGTTGTGTGTCAAGTGTTGCTCAGCAAGTTCACGACAGATCTTTGGGAAAGTGGCCGAAAACATCAAGTAGTTGATGTTGCCTTCCTCTTGATCTGTTCATTATGTTAGCATTGATGGCGTGAGAAGAATGATGAGTGACTTACCACCACCAGACATAATCTGCTTCAATTCGCTCTCCCAATCAGATTGAACCATTTCATCAGCCTCATCAATCACCATGTACTTAAGGCGCTTAAGGGTCAAGAGATGGGGACGGCTGATGAAATCAACTAAACGACCAGGGGTACCAATCAGAAGATCACAACCCTTAGAAAGGTGATTCATCTGCTCGGCAATTGGTCCACCACCATAGACAACACATGGGCGAAACATGGTACGATAACAGAAGCGACGAGCCTCATCGAAGATCTGAGTAGCCAGCTCTCGAGTAGGGGCGACGATGAGAACCAGAGGCTCAGCACGAATAGGACCAGAAACTTTAGCATCATAGGTGGCTGGGTTGGGTCGAGGGGCACACAACTTCTTGGCCTTGCCCATCAACTTTGACAAGATGGGAATCAAGAAAGCAGCAGTCTTTCCAGAACCTGAATTTATCAGCTAGATCTGAATTCCAATGTCATAGTGTACTTACCAGTCTGAGCGCAAGCAATAAGATCCTTATTCTGGAAAATGGCGGGAAGAGTATAAGCCTGAATGGGTGTTGGTCTATCGTATCCTGCCAGCTGAGTATTCAGAAGCATGACAGGATGAAGGCCAGCATCCTCGAAGGACCTAACGGGGTTAATGCGCTCAGTACCTTCTTGGATAACCTCAAGCATGGCAATCCTTGATGAAAGCTTCATTAGCATTGTGGAACTAGACATGAGTTCAAGAATGGCTTACTTCTCAAATTTAATACCAGTCCGAGTATGATTGGCGGCTCCAAAGAGCTGTTGCTCAAGAGCTTCAAATCTGGGGGCAACATCACCATACTCGTCGTTCCATTCGTACACAGCAGCGTTGCCAGCCCAATCGCCGTCTCGAAGGCCACCTACAGCATCATCCTGGTCGTTGTTGGCTCCACCAGGTTGAGATTGTTGGATGTCAAGAAGTTCCTTGTTAGATTTGTTGTAGGTCTCATAATCGTAGTTCGACTTCTGAACCCAGCCAGCCTCTTGAGGATTGACCTTGGGTGCATCGGTAGAAGCCTCTTGAGGCGCATCGGTTGGGATGGAGGGGTCAGGCAAAGCAGCCGACATATCGTCGGTTCCCCAGGCAGCCATTTTGATTGGTAGGATCCTGTGAAGAGGAATGTCAGAAAAGTTTATGAAGATGAATGTCCAGGGATATTGAGAGTGCCGAGGCTGTGAAGACAAAAGAAAACCCGAAGATGAGCCTGTGCTTGAAATCTCGAAAGGGGGTAGCTCGCTAAGCCATCTCCATTCGCTACGGGGCACGTGTAACACGCACCACAAGTACACTGTACTGAGTAGACTATTGTTGATCAAGATGATGAGGAAGGCGTTACTCGTATGGATTGAATACAAGATCGCGCTTCAGAGAGGATGGCACCACATATGATAACGACATGCATCAACTTTGATGGTAGGACAGCAGTGCGCCCAAAAAGAAAACCGCAATGAACTGGGAGATCTCGAATGTGAGATGACAAGAACAAACTCTGCACATATGATTGGGCCAAGGCCATCGCAGAGTAGACCAAGCAGCAATGTGAAGAACAACACGTGCGTGCAAGTGTGGAAGGAGATTGAAAACATGGTGATGGCGTTGAGAAAAGAGCAAAGGCAAGCAGCAGAAACATGGAGTGGGTGTATGAAATGAAGAAGATAAAGAAAGTCGCGTAGATAGATGACCACAGCCAACGTACCTTCGGAAATGAAGTAAACTCAATCAAACTGTATGCAACGAGTATGTCAGTGGGAAATTCTGATATCAGAGATCGTAGAAGAGGATGAGGGTGGTGAAGAAGGATGGAAGTGGATGGGCAGTGGGAAGGAAAGGTGGATGACGTGGAAAGAAGTCGTGCTCATGTTCGACGCCCACCGCCAACGCGCTCAGCCATTGGTCAACGGACAGCAGGCTTTGCGCGTCGCGGATACTAAGCCAATGGTATGGTGAAGAAGATTGCAAAAGGGAACATGCAGGACAAGGTTGAAGGAAGGGAAGGTGTCACTTACGTTCTGTCTGGTGTCGCGACAGCAAGTTTTCCTTGATAGGAATTGGAGATCTTGGATTCTGAAGGAGCAGGAAGGCTAGCCAAGGTGTTTGATGATGGTGTGAGAGAGTCCTGAAGGTGGAAGAGCGTGTCAAGGATGAGGGGTTCGTCTCGAATCTCAAGGGAGCAAAGTAAACAAACAGATCGTGCGCCGTAATCGAAAGGGAGAGAATACGTACTTGGATTGAAGGAGCGGATAGAAGAGGGCGAAGGTAGGTAAGGAGGTGCCTTAACCTATGGAAAGAAGATGGGGAGGTGTTGATCAACTAGTTCTTAACGTTGCGGAATTGTAAAGGGTTGAAGAATCTAGAAGATCGAGAGAACGAGGAGGATGGTTTTGTAGAACGCTTTCCGCGCTAACGGACCCACAAAGCTTTAGCGAGCCTCCTCCCCCGGGCTCTTGCCTATCTGGGTGCTCTTCCTGCATTTGGAGGTGTTTGTGGACCGGTGAATCTTCTATCGAGTCTCAGGGAAGGAATATGATGTATCATACTCATGCTATCATGAATAATTGCACGGGAAAAGACTGAACTTTCCTCTGGGGTTGCATCTCTTTTGCCCTTACTGCAACAGCAAGATTACAACACTCGAGTTCTCAAGCATAGGTTTCAGCATACACGTACAAGTCAACCTACAACGGAGAGTAATATTGTGGCTCTGAAGGACGACTTGCAAGAACAGCCTGCTCATCGCGGTCTTCGCCACAAATGCTCCGAATAAAGGGTGAGGATACTTGAATTTCTGGGATGTTGACTTGCCCCAACCAGAAGATTCGTCCGTGTAATACCGTCTTCATCATACCTGCAGAGCTCAGATATTGACCACGGAGTATGTATCGAACTCCTGACAAGGAAATGCAGAATTCCCCGATACTCGAAGGTAGGCAACAGAGTTCCTTGCCCTGCAGCGTCTCCAAATCTGAATACTGCTTCAACAGACATGCAAGAGAGCTTTACTGACTCGAATCCGAGGTTCTTACAACTCGTTATGCAGTTATTCGGTGCAGCAATTACCTCGACCCTTTATCCTTCCTCCAATTTGCAATTCTTTCAAGACGACGCAGACGAACGATATTACACACAAGGCAATGCACGCTCGAAGTTATACACAAGCTGATTGAAAGCACGGGCTCTGGAAATATTACAATATTTCTACGATACACTCTAACCTAACTCCAGTGCGTCGTGTTTCTGGCGGAGTGATGTGGAAAACGACGACACTGCGGTGCTGAACAAAGTGCAGTTGCGCGACATGGCAGATTGGCAGTCAACGCGATAGGTAGTCAGAGATCTCTTTTGTCCAATCTATAGACAAGATTGTAGTGGTGTCAGCTTTGGGTGGGCGCGACCTTCCACTGACTACGACACGACAAGGTGCGAGTTTCCAGCTTCATGGGTATCATTTATTTCTAACACTCAGCCATCAAGTATATAGCCTAGCTCATGGGATGGTCTTACGAGAGCTTATTGAGCCTGTAGAGAGTTCAAAACCCACAATCGTGCAGAGGAGCAAAGGCGCAGACGGAAATACCATAATGGGAGCTGGTACTTGAGCAGTGCCGTGCAGGAAATGTGCGTGGGGAAAAGTCTCCAAGGGCGATTAAAGACCACCTCTCGCGAGCCTCAGCGATCTCTCAAGATACTCTCTTCATTCTCTCCACTATAAGACTCGAGGAGGATGAGGTCATCGGACTATAGTATATCTTCCCTTTCAGCCTCAGCCGATCTCTTCGCGAGCTAGGCCTTGACCACACTACATATTTGCACGGAGCTTCATGAAGGAATTCCAATATCAGGCCAGCGCTCTTCTCAAATTCTGGATGTCCGTCGATCAAGGGTCTGCTAAGTGGTAGTTCGGGTCTTATTTCTGAAGGACTAAACTTCTGCAAGTGCAGAGACTCAGATACCTGAGAACGAGAGACTTCTCAGCCGAGAAAGGGCCACTGGACTCTCGGGAAGGTGGCCAAGTTTATATATCGGAGGCATTTCACTTATGCACAGTGTAACAACACTTTCTGATATGTGTGCGATAGCTTCACAGGACAGCTTTGCCACTCCAAAATACCGAAGTTTGGTAACATGGTCCATCAAGTAAGTGGCTAGAGACAGCTATTGTTCAGCTTAAATATTTCCGGTCCTCTAAAGGGGATATCAATATTCATCAACTGTACATGTACAGTTATAGCGTGCCACGATACGACGAAAGACTTATAGAGCAACGGAGACGGCGTCCACTTGGAGACGAAAGTCAAGTACCAAGACAGGAAAGAAACTTCCCTTGGTTGGACTTCCTCATGGCCAAGGGCCAGGGACTAGGGCTCATTGCGCCTTCCTCGAAGACTACTATGGCACCACAACCCAAATCTGAAGCAAGAGGCTCTAGGATTTCGTCTCTACGGAAGCACAGCACAGCACAGCAGCATCAACAGCTAAAAACGAAAGTTCAACCAGACTCTAAAATCTCTGGCATTCGAGCCCGCACTTACGCCTCCTCGCAAATCGAACTGGCACTTGCCTACCACCATCATTAGCGACAAGAAAACCACACCCACAACAAACCATGATCTCCAAACTCTCCTCCCCTCCTCTCACCACGCTCCAACACCACAAACGTTCCTCACTCAAAACTCCCAAAAAAATTCTCCCCAAAACGAAGGCCAAAGCCCCCACCACACAATTACCCAGAATCCGCCTCGCAACCAAAACCCTCAAAACGATAACAGTACCCCGAAACTCGCACAACAAGCGCTTCATCGTGTTGAGGAGATATAAGGTAGTCAAGAAACGGATGTTGATTCGGACTATGAGGGGAAGGAAGCTAGTGGAGGTCAGGAAGGTCGTTGGGGAGGTTCCTGAGGAGGGAGAGGGGATGGGGGTGGAGTTGAAGTGGGGGAAGGGGGAGCATAGGACGTGGTTTGGGAGGGTTGTTATTCGTTAGTGAATGATTGGGAGAGAGCCTGTTGCTGGTAGAGGTCGAGGTCGAAGGCCATTGCTTGGGCTGTGGTGTATTGGTCGTGCTGGTGGTGGTGGTCGTCGTCGTCTCGAAAGGGTTGAAGAATAGGGGGCTTGCGGCTCCCAAAATGCTTACCCTATACATCATCTGTATAGCAGTATTGATACCCTACCCTTCTTAGCTGAGTCATTCTTGCTTGGGATCCAATTCACCGTCATTCCTCCCCTCTGTTGCATCCTTCTTCATCTGTCGTCGTGCTTCACTGGCCCCACCGAACAGTTCGTGTACATATCAATATGCAGGGGCTCTCTATGACTCGGAACATCCTTTGTCGATGACAGAGCAGTTTCTTTCCGTGAAATATTATCAATATCAACTCATCGTCTCTTGCAAGAGATTTCTTTCTCCCTTTAACGATAAGTTATCACGCTATCATGAATTAGTCCCGACACAACCCAACCTCCCCGTTTTCGGCTCGAGAACCGCCTCGCGTTTATTTTAAGCGCCCCAAAGTACAGTTATGGTAGTCTCTTCGATTCTGTCTTGATTTTTCTTTAATATCAAATTCTTCAGTGTTAACTGTCTCTCATCGAGGCCCATCATGTTTTCCAAAAAGGAATAGTGCTAAGCAATATGCTATCTTGGCTTTGACCAACTTACCCTTACGCTCTCCTTCCCCTCCTTCTTCAGACCCCCAACAAGAACCTGACCTCGATATCATTTCGATACCCTGGCAAATGTAGTTAATCACAGTAGTCGAAACTATGGATGGTAGGTACGCTCTCTCATGATCCATCGACCGTTATCTGGAACTTTACATTGATACACCCCTCTGTACTTCCCCAAATCTCCAAGCGTGCTCTCACCGCACGTTTTCTAGACCCAGACCTCAATCTTCGACCAAGACCCAAAAACTCCGTTCAACTAACACTGAGCCAAATTTACAAGAAAGAAAATCAAACGCAATTCGTATCTAGCTTCGTTCAAAGGTGGCTATAGAATTCGAACTGAAGAAGGAAAATACAGGATTAGAGTCCAAAAGGATACCTGGAATGAATGAGAGATACTCAGATCAGGAATTTCAGGTTCCTTACTTACTCACTCGCTATATGAGTGCCATGCAAAGAGAAGACATCTGGCTCCATCCCAGTTCCAGAATAAAAGCTCGGTAGTCCGCTACGAGAAAACACTCCCCTACAGCTGTAAAAGTTGTCACATCATACATCATCAAGAATTGGCATGCATAGACAACACAATAAATTTTTTGTCCATACTTATCAACCAGCCGCATGCATACCTCAAATGCTGCTGCATGAATAGCCAGCCACCATCTAATAGAAAACCACGTCCACCTCTCCACGTCCACCACCCACCAGCCATCAGATATCTCTAACATCAAAACATACAGCGCTCAATGGCAATCTGAAGTATAATCCCTCCATCTTCATCCACCACCCACTAGAACGCAGGACGAATTCCTCCGCCTCCATCCATCAAAGTAGTATAAAAACACATCCATCATCGTGATTTGATCGAGAAAGCGCGCCAGCGCAGAAAAAAGGTAGTAGAACGATATTTTTCCATCGTGCATGAGATGTAGTCGAAGTGAAAGTACTAATTCGGCGACAAATGCAGCGCGCGCGCACAATTCGAAGTAAGGGGGTATGCAGCAGTTCCAAAAAGAACAAATGAAAAAGAGAGCGTTGTATCACAACGGAAATTAATCGTCAGGGTTTTTGCGTCTCCAGCAGATAATGTCCGGTATGCCGCAAAAGGAAGTACGCGCTGCTGGTAAGACATTGAGAGAGGAAGGACAGATCATCATTTTGTGTCGCGGTGCTTGAGTCTGCTTGTTCTCCATCCTTCGTACCAGAGTTCTCTGCTTGCTTCTCGGAGTTCTCCTCTCCACTCGCTGAAGACGGCCTCCTTCAATCTGGTAAAGTCGCAATGCTCGGCATTCATTGGATCTGCGAATCCCCAAGGGAACTTTCTGCCGATAACACCAGGTTCGTAGATGTCTGGGCTGATGATTGACAGTGGGAGGTATGGGAGTTCGGTCTCGGAATCATCTACAGATTTGTGACGGCGAACCGAACCTGACGACAAGCGCTTCGAATTCGGCGAAGCACTGCTACTAGGCTCTGGAGTTTGAATTGGAAGGTTGCCATCTGAGTCCTTGTCGGAATCCTCATCCTCGTCTCCCTCATCGATACGACTGGAGTTTATCGGACTATCAGACTCGAAGTCATCAAGTCCCAGGGCCTCAAGTGGATCAAGATTAGCCTTCTTTAAGGAATCCCAGACAATCTTCTTCAGATATGCCATATGAGCGGTTGTAATGGTATCTGCCTTTGAGATGACCGGAACGACAGTTGTCTTGCCCTGGAGAGTTCGCAGAACCTGAAGATCAAGATCCTCGTCCAATCCACCCAGGATACGTGGCGCTGAGTTGTACTTTCCATTCATGCCACCATTGGACGTCGAATTCTTTGCAGCGGCAATGTTTCTGTCCAGGCGAAGAGGATCAAGAAGCAGGAATGCTGCATGAATATGTGTATCTTGCACACCAGGAGCTCGGACAACTTTCATCTCCTCAGTGAAAGTCTCCTCGAACTTGCTCTCCAAGAAAGAGGACATCTCTCGAAGCTGCAGATCAACGACATTCTTCTCCAATCCTTCCGAATCCCAGAGAGTCAAACCAATACGTTCACCATCGATTTCGGTCTCCAAATAATGTGATTCGAAAGTACCAGATTTTGAGTTTTGAGGTGCGAAGATATCGTCAACAAGCTCAGTTGGTCGGTTGCTTCTCTTCTTTGATGGAAGGGCTAGAGAGGTCTTGAGGAAATTAAGGAAGGAGGTCTTGCCCGATGATCTTGCGCCGATAATGAGGATACTGGAAAATGTCAGTTTCGGTACGCATAATCTCGAAAGTGAAACTTACTTGAAAGGCGTAGGGTCCTTCCGTCTCCTCACTCTGCGAGGGCTGTTGATGGTGCTGACCGCACTGCTCGCATAGCTGTATCTGCCACGGTGTGTCATGCTCTCAGTTCGAGCGTACGGATCAACATATTCGCCATTCTTGTTGCCATTCGATGGAATTGGCGGGATGGGCACCGTGCTTGTCATTGCGGACGCTCGACCGGGCTCGATTGACCCACGACCTTGATAACCCGTCTTGTTGGACACGATGGCGACAGAATCGGGGCGGTCCTCGCCTCCGTACGGCAGCGGCGTCGGTTTTTGACCGTTGTAGAGATCGGGGAGTTTGGGAGGGGATTTCGGGATGGCGGCAGCTTCGCGGCGTTGTCTCTCGAGTTCTTGCTGCTGTGCAAGGGCCTGCGCCTTCTTGGAAGGTTTAAGTTCGCCGGACTTGGAGCGTCGTAAGAGGAGGCCGAGGGAGGAGCGACGTGGAGGTTGCGTCGTTTTTCCAGCCTCAGGGATTGCCGCCAGTTTGTCGGATGGTGGTGAATTACTCGCAGAGGGGGTTCGCGGTCGTGATGAAGAAACCATGACTGGATACGAACGAGTCTCAGAAGCAACAGGGATCTTTCTCTAGATTTGGTTCGCGACAGTGGGTTTGTTGGAATCGCCTGCTCTAAATCAAACCGACCTTGGGTGCGTTTTGTGTTTCTCTTCTTTGAAGACGTTCAGCTGAAGGATGATTCACGCGTTCGCGACAAAGAGATCTTTGCCTATCGTTATCGCAGATGTGTGAGGAGTGAATCGTTGACGCCGTGGTGTCGTGAGACCGGCTGTTTCAATGCCGCGGGCCCTGAATCAATGGCAGATTCGCAGAGCTGTCAAACGAAGGCTCCGAGGTCGAGTATCGAGGTTGGAAGTCGAGCTGATAATGTCCTGATGTCAGAGTCGTATCTGAAGGCTTGCGCGAACAGACTGTGGACTTTGGACCGGTATGGTTAGAAGGAGGCCGGATCTGGATGCTCTGCAGTGGTGCACAAACTAGATTTCGAGATGGGAAAAGTAGAATGTCGGCGCCAGCCGCGTTTGAATGGAGATTGAAAGGAGCCCCAGTAAGTCAAGTCAGAGAGAATGAATGAAGGAACGTGTTTCTCACGAGAGGGCGAGAAGTGAGAGAGGGAGAGAAAGGTGAGAGTGAGCGTTGTTCGAAATTGTTCCAGTACTCGTTCTATGCACATCGAGCCCCTGAAGACGTGCATTCAACTGGCAGCGATCAACCAATAGCGACCGCCTCTCTCCAGCCAACCCCGGCACACCAGTCTCGGGGATTTACGTGCAGCTCTACCGTCCTTCACCAGGTCTCACGATGAATCCAGCAGAAGCAATTCTACGGGTAGAGTATCACTCATGTCTATATATGCATTTATCTACCTAATTCTCAACTTCCAATTCACCACGTAATCTTTCCCACTCTATCAAGAACGTTCGCCTTAATTACGAGTACGAGAGAGAATAAAAAAAGGGTCTTGAATCGGACAAACGAACCAACGGCGCCGGCACCTCTTCCCTTCTCGACCTGGTTTCTGGGGCAGACCGATAACAGACTAGCGCAATCATCCTAATCTTCAATTCACTTGTTGCACGCGAGCTAGACGGGATCCTCAAACGTCCTTTTTCACAAAAAGCAAAGAAATAAAAACCTCAGCCACATGTCTTCATAAAAAGCAAAGAGCAGCCACAGTAGTCAATCTCCATCATGAAATTGTGGATACCTCGAAACTATATCTCAATCACAGATACCTAAACCCACTCACTCCCCATCTCAATATCCTTCCCACCCCGTTCCGGTCCGCATATTTCCCTCCACCCTTTCATTAACATGATACATCCATCACGTGCGTTTGATGTTCTCCTCCCATCACCCTCACCCATTATGCGGACGTTCTTGGGTCGCGTTATGCCATTTCCTTTATACCTAGGTACCTCTGCATCTGCATGGAAGAAGCGGAGTGGAAAAGATTGTATCCGGATCTACGTACGAACTAGGGTTTGAGGGCAGCGGAAACCACGGACTTGGGAGCTTTGGATTGTTGTCACTGATCTATCTGACTTGTAGCTCAACAGCAACAGCATCTCTTGAACAACATCATCTGGTACATACCGTTCAATTGATCTCGTCTCATCTCACTCAGCACATCCAGCCAAGATCTTGGTTCAACAGATGAGGTGGTGAGATTACATACACCGCGGCAGGGATACCTCTGCTAATTGTAATGAGGTTAAGATCACAATCAAATCTCAGCAAACAATGTCCAGTCATAGATCTTTCATTACGACTAAATCCACAGTCATGGATCCCCTATTCCCATGCTCCGACTCCTCCTTTCCCTTGCCATTCCCACCAGACTGTGCTGTTTGTCGTATTTCGAAGGAGCACCTTCTTTTCAAACGAAGGGCTGCAAGACCCGCTTCGCAATCAAGAAAAAATCAGAAAACGGAAACATGGGCAAGGAAGAAAAAAGAAGTTGCCAGCTATGCATGATTTGATGCCAGCCATATGTACAATGCAGACTCAAAACAAGAATGCCAGATCGTGATATGACAGTGCCAACCAACGATGAAACGAGATATCCGGAACGCCTGCGGCCTTGAAATGTACCTTCATCCGTCGAGAATCTATATCGACACAAGAGAAGAAAGAAGATAGGCTCTAGGCCAATTATTTACGAGTGGTCGAGGGAAAACATACAGTGCTGTCGTGAAAGGGGTATTTTGACAGCCGTATTGAGGGAAAATGGTCGAAGGTTGAAAAGTTTCGTCGTCCGAGAGTATTTGAAAGGTAGAGAATAGATCAGAGACCGCTGCTCGGTCCTGGATATGCACTATTTGGAACTATGCCTGGCATCGGACTGGTACCTCGTGAACCTCCTCTGGCGAAACCTCGATTACTCGGTAACATGAAGTCGGGATTCGAGTTCAACAGTATGTCGTCTTGCCGTGGGACGGGGCGCCTCGGCATTGGTGCAGCGCCATATCCACCACCATTCCACCTAGGATTGACGCCTCGTTGTGAGACTGAAGTGAAATTTGATCGGTCAGACTCAGCAGGACTTCTCGCTCCTGATTGGAGATCTTCATAGGACGAACTGCCATCAAGGCCCATAGGTTGGTTGGGCCGTAGGTTTTGGTTTGAATTGTTGTTCTGTTGATATCCAGGAGCTAAGGCTTGGGGTACTGAAGCAGATGTTGGAGGCTCGGCAAAACGAGGGTCAACATCTTCGTAGTAATTATCACCAGCTGAGCTACCACGCTTATGAGCAGCAGTTGTTGGGCTTGGTAACTCTACAGCCTGGGTGGCAGGATTCAGTGGAGACGACCGTCCGCCTTCAGTCCATTGCTGTCGTGGAGGTACATAGGGTCTGTCAAGGTAAGTATTCGAGTGGTAGCAAAAGACGTCGAATAACTTACTGGTCTGAGCTGTATCTGCTACCGTCACTATCAACTGTCTGTCTTTGTAACCTTTGTTGTAGTCCAACCATCCCAGCTACATCACCATCACTTTCTCTAAGATTTCCAAATTGGCCAAATCCTGCGGGAGTACGTGAAGGGCTTCCCGTGGTAGCATCCATTTCTACAGCTTGACCAACAGCTCCCTCATGTTCCATTCCAGGCAAAGGCGGAGGAGACTCGGCACGTGGTAAACTATCTCTGGAAGGATCTTCAGGATTGTATGGAGTGTACTCTGCAGGGGGTGCAGGAGGTGCTGCATAGGCGCCATCGATGTAGCCAGACTGTTGCGGCTCTGATGGACGTCGCCCATACGAGGCAGGTGACATCCCTCTATTGTCGTAGCCACGACCGTTTGGCGGGGCTCCATATCCAGGAGGCGGCGGTCTTCCTCCTCTCATCATTGCTCCTGCAGCCATACCTCCAGCACCAGCCATCATAGCGTCATTCATTCCACCTCGATAGGGGCCTCCGTAGCCTCCTCTAGGAGGAGGTCCATAACCACCTCTTGGGCCATAACCTCCCCTTGGCGGTCCATAACCGCCACGTCCATTGGGAGGATAGCCTCCCCTGCCTCTGTAACCTCCTGGTGGCATTCCTCTCCCTCTACTTGATCCTTCCGAGTACTGACGATTCAATGCTGGCTCGACCGAAGGCTCACGGCTGCGCATGCCGTAAGATCCAGGAGGTGGGCGTGGCATAGGATTGCCAAATTGGTCGCGGGGTGGACTGTTCCCACCCATCCTAGGTTGTACTCCATATCTATCTGGCATACCTGAGCCTGGTCCATTGATGGGAGATGTCTCAGTAGGAGTTCTGTTAGTCAGAGGTATTCTCTCCTCACTAGATCTCTCATCCGGATCCTTCTTTATTGACTCGAAGGTCGCAAATGTGGGAAGCTTGTCCACACCAGGGCCGCCGTTTACTAAAGTATTGCTTGCAGTTGTCATCAATGGAACTGGATCTGGTCCCTGCCTAGCATAGAAATTCTCGCCATTCATCTCTGCATTCTCAGCAATACGTCGCTTTCGAGCCTTTCGGCTGACTAGTGTTCTGCGCATTGCGCAAGAGACAATCCCACTAGCAGCGATTAGTATGGTGGCCGCCAGAACAATGTACGACCCCCAGGCCATGTGCGGTACGAATAGTAAGACATCGATAAGGAAGGCGAGGAGTGAGACGATCAGCGTGAGGATACTGAGGATAAATATTCCAAGCAGGTATCGCGGAGAGTGCGAGGGAGAGTGGAAGTGTGCCACAGCCGAGAGGATGAGCATGATAAGAGTGAAGAAGGCTGCAATGGGGTGGACAATTAGGATCGCTGAAAGCGTCGTTCTGGTACTCGAGGGAAGATCGAAAGTCGCAGATTGTGTATCCGTGAATAGATTGGCTAGACACTCCAATTAGTTCTGGACTTTGTAATACTTCAAGAGTCTCGACGTATTGACACATGCAAGTAACCGATGCATCTGCGAACACTTACCAGTATTGTATCCAATCTCGATATTGCTACATTTGCTGCCCTGACAGAAACCAAATACACCGAAGTCCACTCCTCCAAATGAAGCCAAAGGTATTTGTTTTATGATTGGCGTCGATAGCACCGATATAAGGAGAAGGGCGAATGCTGCGAAAAGCAGCACCGTCAGAGGCGTCGCTGGTCGAAGCATCTTGTCTGCTGTTTCTCTCGTTTCAAAACGATCGTGATGCCGGCGCCCTCAAGACGCGGCCAGGAAGGTACTCGAGCGACTCTCAATTCGAGGAAGGTGGCTGTGATATGTCGTGGGAATGTTGAATGATCTTAAGCTGAGGCTGGGAACGGCATTGGCGATCGATAAGGTGTCCCTCTTGCTGTCGCATTGAAATCCGCCGACTCAAGTCCTCATTTGCAGTTCTCAATCCCTTTGTAAACGATCGTGCTCGCCGATGGGGAATGCGATGAACGTCGTCGTCAACTCGTCGAAGGCGGAGTTGAAGTTGGCAGAGCGGGAAGTCGTCGTGAGAGGTTGGAGGTGATTGAATGAAAGGGTGTGCTGGTGGTGTTCTGGAATCCTGGAAGTTAGGAGAGGCGGCGGGGAAGGAGAGTCGAGCTGAAGCCTATATTTGAGCCACCTTCCCTATCATAGGGTAGGAGTCCTTCTGGTCAATGGTGCGATATTATGGACCGTACCAAGATGCAGACTCTAGTCAGGTTCCTGATACGATGCTCCAATAGGGACGAAGCAGCCACACGGAATGGGAAGAGAGAAATGAACGGGCAACGATAAATTCGAGGGAAAGGTAGACTGCGGTTGGAGTAGTCTGGTATGTACTTGGAACTGGGGACTGGTTACATCGACGGCGTGCCAGCGAACGACGTTTAGCTAGAACTTGCACTGGCCAGGCTCCATCGGGCCCCTTTGGTTGGATTTCTTGCTTCCAGATGGATCGAGTTTCGCCTTTGCTGCCGCTGCTGAGTCTGAGTGGGAGGAGTGGATGTCGAGATGGCCAGTGCTGCTCAGCCCCAATGCGCATACGTTATCAGTTCTCCTCCTCCACGAGAGATACGTAGTATGCAGACTGAGTGGAGGTGGATTTCACGAATCTGCATGAAAGCTATCTTTCTACTGTGCACCTTTCTCCTATTCCCACTCCAAGTCTTCTAAAGGCGGTGTTTTCCTATCTCTCTCGAACATATTCTCCGAGTATCACAGGTGTACACGGTCCAGCCCAGTCGCACTCAATTTCCGTCAACGTGGGACTGTGAGCTTCTGTTACACGCCTTGTCCGAGATCTCTGGCTGGGTTATTTCTGCCCTCAGCCCAGAAATTATTTGGATCTTCCTCCTCGTATGCACGTCTCCAACTCCCAGAGGATGTGAGTTCTCAGGTACAGCGGATGACTACATATACTACACTCTCGTCGACATTAGCCATAAAGTGTGGGCAGATCAGGTATATTGTGCATTCATATGAACCGCTGACTGCAGATGACGATGGGTCGTTTTTGGAAGAACGAAAACACACTTTTGCTAGGATAGCAGCCTGCATTCATTTGCGCATATGAGGCTTCTAACCCTTGCATCGTGCTTCCAATCGCTGGATGCGATACATCATCTCTCCACTGTCCACCCTTCCCATGCATTGCACGCGGGAAGTCCCCTTTCTGGAATCTCACTGCAGAAATACGACCCAAGGATGGACTATCATACCCGAGTGGCTTGATATACAATTGAGAATTTATCCGGGAGGACAATACAACTTTTCTCCTTACCTCCGACTAAGACTGATGAATACGGCTTCAGAACGAATGCGTGTGGATTGGTATTTTGTATTGCGTCTTTTGTACCTTTTTCAAACAGGCCTGCTCCCTGTGATCGACTATTCTTAGAGTTCCATTTTATTTCGAGACTTGTTTCAAGCAGTCTGTGACATTGCGTTTCCTAGACGATCTACGAATAAGATCGTCTCGGAATCATATCAGTATTTCGAGGCGAGAACCTTGATTTCGTCAAGCTTAGCATGCGAGACCAGAGAAGTAAACCTTCTAGGTGACTTCACTGGTGAGATCTTTGCATCAGACGAGACCTCTCTCCTGAATCTCTCGCTCGGTAAAGATCCGAGGACAGTGGACCGACGGAGATAAAGATTACGGTAAGCCATAAATGCCTACTATGCTCATCATCATTGGTATCGAGAAAAAAATATTGACCCCTCGATGAATGGCTCTCGATATCTGAAGCAATGTCACTGCGCTTTGCGGGAGTATGGTCGCATAGCAATAGACTCGCATGTAAAGCTACAAGAAGTCAAATTCCCTCATTATCGTCTCCTCAAACTAGCAGAAATATATCAAAGTGGTCACACGCTCTCCTTCCACAAAATGCCGAACGACCTTCGATAGCCTTCGGAGGCAAAAACCTCCTCTCTAAACCCACTCGACGAGCATTGCAGAGCGAGAGATTTCAGCAGTTTGTTCCTCCATCGCCGGAGTCTCTTGGAAAAGCAGCTCCAGCGAAACAGTACCGACGAAGCATAAAATGGGGAAGAAGACTACTCATTATCTCCGGAGTTACAGGAATCCTCTACTTGATTGATTCGCAATTCTATGCATCTTCGATATCCAGATCATTACGAACATTCGGCTTGGGAATAGTAGTGGCGACCGATTACAAGCTCAACTTCAGAGAAAGCCCGTTGTTCGGAGGAGATATTGTGGATTTGCACAGAAGAAGCGCAGAACGGTTGTTCAATTTGCTACACCAAAATGGAGGGCTATACTTAAAGATAGGCCAGGCTATAGCTATGCAGAGTGCTGTACTGCCCCCAGAGTTTCAAAAGATGTTCTCCAGGATGTTCGACGATGCTCCGCAGAATGAATGGGCGGACGTGGAAAAGGTCATAAGAGAAGAGTTTGGAGGTCGAACTCCAGAAGAGGTCTTTGGTGTTAGTTTCAGCAATGAGCCTGGCAAGGGAGTCATGGAGAAGAAAGCCAGGGCTTCTGCTTCTGTAGCGCAGGTTCATTGGGCCAGACTTGCGGATGGCAGAGAAGTCGCTATAAAGGTTCAGAAGCGGGAGATTGATCAGCAGGTGGGTTGGGATCTGTGGTCATTCAAGTAAGAGCTCGTCTTCCCGCTTTCCCTCACGCATACTAACAAATCCCAGGGTCGTTATGAAAGTCTACACATGGTGGTTCGACCTTCCGTTTTACAGTCTCGTGCCCTACATTACAGAACGACTTCAACTCGAAACGGACTTTGTCAACGAAGCAGATAATTCAGAGAAGATGGCCGAATTAGTAGCAGGCGAGCCTCGTCTTCGGGGGCGAGTGTACATCCCAAAAGTCTACAGAGAATTATCATCTAAGCGAATCATGACAGCAGAGTGGATAGAAGGAGTAAGACTCTGGGACAAAGAGACTTTGACCGGACCATGGCTCGGTGGCAACGGCAAAGGCTCACCAGGAGCGAAGAACACACCTCTCAGCGTACCAACCTCAACCCGTGCCAACGACGGAACCGGCTTCCTAAAGCCAGACCGAAATGAATGGCGAGGTCGAAAAGGTAAAGGCGGACTCGGCCTCCCACTCAAAGAAGTCATGACAACCATGATCGACCTATTCTCCGCCCAAATGTTCCTCTGGGGTCTCGTCCACTGCGATCCTCACCCAGGTAACATTTTCATTCGCCGAATGCCCAACGGCCACGCAGAACTCGTCCTAATAGACCACGGCCTCTACGTCTCCATGTCCCCGAAGTTCCGTCACCAGTACTGCCAATTCTGGAAAGCGATTATGACCTTCGACAACGAGACTCTCAGCGAAATTACTAGCGCATGGGGCGTTAAAGCCCCGGACCTCTTCGCGAGCGCGACTCTAATGCGTCCCTACGAAGGCGGCGACGGTAGCACACGTGGGCGTGTAACCGGGAAACTAGAAGGCAAGACGGCGGCAGAGCGCCATTTCGAAGTCCAGCAACGCATGCGTCAAGGTATCCGAGAAATTCTCTCTGAAGAAGAGAACTTCCCCCGAGAACTCCTCTTCATAGGCCGCAATATGCGGATCGTGCAAGGGAACAACCAATTCCTCGGCTCGCCCGTGAACCGCATCAAGATGACGGGCTATTGGGCGAGTAGGAGTTTGGTTGATAGCAAGGATTTGAGCTTTAGTGAGAGACTTGTAAATGCGTGGCGGCATATGCTGTTCCGGTTCGTGCTGTTTAGTACTGATGTGGTATTTTATGGGAGTAAGGTTCGGCAGTGGTTCGGATTTGGGGGCGGGATGGAGGATGATCTTGAGAGGCAGATGAGGTTTATTGCGAAAGATCAGTTTGGGGTTGAACTGCAGCATTCGGTGTTTGAGGGGTAGAAGGGTGGGGGAGCTTGTATTATAGGTACGGGGCATAGCGATGGTGCATTAGATATAGGTAGAGGAGTTTAGAGGTACAAATCCACTTTGTTCTTTGGCTTGTAGGTACGTCTTTTATGAATGTATGTTGCACATCATGTTTTGGGTCTTTGCGGAATGTTTTCCGGGACAGGTGGAGAAGAGGCTATTTGAAGAAAGTTCTTTCGAAGCAACTTTTATACGGAAGTGATGTCTTTGTTGGAACCGTTGCTTCAAAGTAACGATGACTATTGCGCCAGTTCCGAAGAAGCCTCCAAGTCAATCAACCCCCTTCTCTCTTGATATCTCCGTTCAAACTCCCTCCACTCCTTCGTCTCCCAATCTCCCGCCATATTTCGAACAAATCGATCTATATCACCGTGTTTGTTACACCCTACAGCATATATACCATTCACATCATAGTACTTGTTCCATTCCTTCCTTCTCACAACTTTGAACTTTAGGTTCGAAATCGCCGCTCTTTGCTTAGACGAAATCCTGGCATCCTCAGGATTGCATATATGAGGATAGTATTCCTTGTCATAAAGCGCAATACTAAAAAAACGCCGAAGCTCATAGTGCTGGGGCTTAGACGGGATGTTTAGAGCGCGTCGCATTTTCTGCATATTTATTGAGCCAGGGTTGAATGCCACAGCGTATCTGTGTCGTGTCTTGATCGGTAGGATGTCGAGATCGAAATCGTGCGTCTTGTCTATGCGTTCCCATTCATCGAGATAAGGATGTTTTCCATCCTGATCGACCCAGGCGGCCGAGCGATTCAAGCGCAGTTCATGACTGACGGTGCCAGAGAATACGTCGAGCGCGTCTTCTAGAGAGATGTATGTTCTGTCTACCTCTTTTGTGATTTTGGACCTGGATATGCCTGCGGTTTTGGAGCTGCGCAATTGGGATGCCGATCTGGCGAAGGTTTCGTCGGCTTCAAGGTCTGGAGTGGAAGTGACTTTTGTTTCGCCGTGCCTTTCCAAGAGGAAGAACAGATTCAGGATTGAGGTGCAGTCGAGAACATATTTCCCCCTGAAATCCACTCCGTTATACCTATCGACATATGCTCTCGCTATGCAAGAGTTCGGAATACCGTTGGTTGACCAGTTCCTCTCCCACTTTACAGGTTTCTTCGTAGTTCCAGAATGAACCACGTGCGACCCATGTTCCATATATAAATCTGGTAGCTCGATCTCTATGTCAGGGAGAGCTTTCATAGTGGAGAACATGTCGAAAAGCTTCCTCACGCTGTGCCAGAGACCGTAAATCTCCGCTGGTTCCTCCTTGAAATTCGGTGCCTCGATGACAAACTTGATGGTCTTGACCTTGTGGTAGGGGAAATTGCTGATTTTCGGGTGGATGCCGTATTCGTGGTTTACGGTGTAACATTTTCCCAGGACTTGACTTTCAATCTTCCATTCATAGATTGTCTTGCGTTTTGGATAAAAGTAGCATTGACTGCGAATTTGGAAAGAGATAACTTCTTTGCTGTACATGAAGTCAGAGACATGTTTGTAGATTCCTTGGCATGTCCGTAGTAAAGTAAAGAGGGGACCTTCTGCTTTTGTCGGTTCGAGTCCGGAAGTGACTTCCTCTTCACTATTCTTCTTGGGCTTGCGAAATCTGGCAATGCACCAGATATCGTCAGAATCGGAATACTCGTCGAACATTTGGCCATGTTCATCGCTCAAGTCTTTGATGACGATTCTGTCGCTGTCGCTGTCCCTATCCGGCTTGTTCGCAAGGGCGATCCAAATCATCGTGCGAAGCTCTTTCGGCAGCATTGCAAACAACCCCATGTTTGCATGTACAGACTCCATGATGGATCTGTATCGAATGCCGCAATACAAACCGTTGATTCGGACTGTGCGTAGATTTATTGGAGTCTGCGGTAAGTTTTCGGGATATAGGATTTATTTTATTTTATTTTATTTTTTTGGTTCTATTAGTCTATTTAGCTGCTATCTAGCGCCATGCAGACGTCCTATTTAGGTTTAGGCTACAGGTGTGGTCACGAGCCTACGGCTCCGCATCCAGGGCTGACAGGATATAGGATTTTGTAAAGAAAAAAAAAATTTAAAGAGGGAAACTCTCGATATGTGGGAGATCTTCTCAGCCTAAAAGGTTTCTGATAAAGCGTGAGTCACATATCAGCGAGCGCTTGGTCAAAGTAGGTAAGTTGCCTTACCTCGAGAAGACTATGTATAGTTGCACAAAAGGGGAGAAGCTGCGGGAGTATCCGCTCTCCTGTTTCTAAGCCATGTGGGTACTCCACGCAACTAGAATCATATCATCTGATGACAGCCCTACAATATCTGTCACTTTAGATACAGGTTCGTATGTGAGATGCGGTTTCAACTACATATTGCACTCAGCTCCCTCGCCAGCCATCTTTTGCCCTGAGATGAAATGTTCGAAAATTAGAGACAATATTTAAGTGGTGTTTCATGAATTAATATGTTTCATTTGACATTGGATAGCAGTATCTACTATTCAATAGTCGAGTGAAATGGTATATTTCTCTCATCACATCACCAACTAAGAACAAAGCCCTTCTTTATTTCCCTCACCACGTCCCAAAGCCTTTCAAATCCAAAAGCATCAAGTACCCCGCACCTGCCCCACCTCAAAGCTTCTATACCTTCTATTGCTTCTTCTAAATTACCATGTGCATAAAAACAATAACAACTCTCTACTCCTGCCACCACCCGTACCACACCCTCACTACCCCATGCACATCCCTATTCTGCAAAACCACGACTACGAGTACCTTCCTCCCACTCCCAGAACAACCTCTTACTAACAGAAGCCCTAGTACTCCCCTCTCCCCATATCTCACCTTTTCACTCTCATCCCTCTCCCTCTTTGAACAACCACGTCCACAAACCGATCAAAAAACTCCCTGTAAGATGCCCATCCTGCGTCTTTCACCGTAGTAACAGAAAACGACGAAACGGCCGAGCGCCCTATTACAATTATCATCGCTACAGAAGAAGAAGCGACGATGTCTGGTACAGGAAAAGCGGAAGCGGCCGCGAGGAGAAGAAGGAGAGAGGGGATAATGGAAAGAGTTGGATTTTGATTGGGGTGTTAATTTGTGTTGTGATCTGGGGCTAGATGGCTAGAGAGAGGGGGTTTGAGGTTGGGGCTGTGTTGGATGGTGATGAGTACGGGTTGGAGTGAAAAGTGAATTGTCTGCCGGGAAGTGGTTTCAGATGGAAGCTCAGGAAGCTGCTTCACTCCACTTCGAGATCCATGTACACCGAACACGTACCCATTCCACCTCTCCTTTTCCTTCAACTAAAAACACTAAATCTACCCTTCCAGAAGGGAAATTGATCATGGTGGAAATAGGCCTGAAGGCCAGCAGTCTGAACGAGGAGCGTGGAAGGATGGATACTGGACCTCTTTGTTGGAACGTTGATAAAGACTTCTTTGTTGATATTGCAATTCGATTCTTTCACTTGGCTAGAGGGTAATAGCATTACCGAAGACAGAATACAAGATGTGTTATCTCGAAGAAATTACGATCAGCTAACCCAGAATTCTCAAGAAAATAGAGCTATTCAAAACCGCTAGATCCCTCAAGTCTACTTGAGTAGGTCACACTTGATACTTACTTCAGCCCGGTCTTGATGGTCTCATCAGAATAAAGTCCAAGATGTCTGCAATAATCCTCACTGAGAGTTTGTCGGAAATCGCATTCTCGGCTCGCCCCCTTTTTGGAAGTCGTGCAGCACGTGACTCAGAAGAACTCTCGTATTGTTTGAATCATTGTCGCGATTATAAGAGGAAATGGCCTATGGAGAAGTTAATCGTTAGTCCTTTGAAGTATTTGTTAATTCGGAGAAAGGAAATAGTGACTGCATGCAGCACCTTCCGAATTTGTCACTCTTCTTTGTTTTCCTTTCCATTTGCACCTCGCAGAAACTCAAAATCCTAGCAGCTCCCCTTCCGTTCCAATTCAATCAGACACTTTGGTTATCACGCTCGATACTTCAATATGTGTATATCATTGCACACCAACTTCTACCACAATTGTGGTCATGAGCAATTCGTCTTGATCCCGTCAGTCAATCCAACATGCCCGAGGCAACTGGAAAGTCTGAGATATGTTGAGAACGAATATTGCCCACGCTGCACATGGAAAGGTAAACTTCTCCGCTTTGCTTTCCCCCGCGTGTGGCAAGAGCTTGGAGCTGGTATTCCCTGCCAGGGCTTCACTGGCCAAGTAATGCGAACTATTCGAATGCCATGGTATGCGAAGTACAATTACACCAAGAGAACACTCTGGCAGGAGCGAAACAGATATTATAGGCTCAAATTCGAATACATACACAGGAAACATGAGAGAAACATGGCCGCAGAGCGGTTAGAACAACAGCGAAACGGGGAAAGTGCTTTGGATTGGGTCTGCTTTCTTCGCGCTTCTCGTCCAGGCGTTCTGAACCCGTCACCAGATGTCTACTGCGAATTTGCAGACGAATCTGGAGACCACTTGGATGAGATTTCGGAGGATAGAGACACTTGCGCCATTTGCCAGAATAGAACGAATCTGGGACCGAATGATCCTGAAAGTTGCCAGGGTAGTGGATACATTGACGAGGCTGGAAATATGGTGGGAGGTGAACCAGTCTTCCTGCTTTGTCGTCATGTATTTGGACTTGGATGCATTCGTCAATGGATAGAAGGTTCGGAGACTCTCACCCAGCACGACACTTGTCCGATGTGTCAGAACGTCTTTGAATTCCATCGAGAGGTTCCGTATAGAGCTCCACCGTGGTGGGCAGCAGCACAAGCATACGATACGTTGCCTATCACTGGCAAGATCATGTACTGGCCTCCACGGTTGATTCAGCTGTTGGTAGTTTTTTTGACTCCATTTTGGGAATGGTGCTTGCGCGTTGCACAGATACCCTCAACCATGATAACTGGAACTCAACAATGGTATGCTACAACAAGGGTCGAAGTAGCCAGATTCCGAGAATGGCGTCAGATTTTGAGGTACGACAGGGAGAATTTTGTCGCATGGATAGAAGTCATGGTTGACTATTACGTCTACCTAACGTTAGTATCTCTTTGCCTATCCCATCCGTTCTGGCTGAGCTGCACGAACGTTTTGATGGCTACCATCGGAGCTGCGACATATTGGTGGTCCAGGCCACGTCCACTTGCAGGAGAGGGTAGTGAGAGATTTGCGGCGTACTTGATTTTTAGCTTCCTCGGAAACTTTGCTGAATGGCTGATTGAGAATTTGATGAGAGGATGGTTCGTCCGGTGGTACGATTATGTATGGGCGTTGGTTTATCTTTTATGTTGGGGCAGAATTTTGTGGGCGTATACGTAAGAGATAGAAGTAGTGTTGTTTCTCTCTTGTTTAAATTAGAGGTTGTGTCTCTGAAACGTCGGACTTTAGTGGCAAGGTGTCCAGGATGATGTTTTGTCAGGCCTTTGCATACTGGTTTTGTGTATATAGTAGCATATATGAAGAAGGACGTCTTGGAACTTGATCAAAATCTGCGAAATGTTAGCAAGGATCTCAGTCTCAAAGATAAATGGAAAGTGATGCACCAACATTTTACTCGTGTACAATATTGGAATCAAGATTAAGATGGCATGGGTTTGAAAGACTCAAGGATATGTCAGGTATCACCTATGGTTCAAGCCCGTCGAACAGTCGCAATGTCCTATTCGTTACACCGAGTTGTTAGTTGAACTCGTAGCTCGAGCTTCTTCTACATATTGCGACGCTCTCCTATGAATAATACATAGGGACGATCTAGAGATGTTTAGATGTACTTTCTACTTGAGATACTTAGACTTTGACCTTTGAGTCTTGTCGGAATGTCGGAATACAGCCGTAGCACAGTCTAGGGGCCACGTGCTTAGCACTTGCCTAGCACGTGCTCATGTGAGCACGTGACTTCGACGGGATATATAAGAGAGTTCATTCTCTTTTCTCACGACGTACAAAATGAACACAATGAATTAGGACTAGTCTTGTTATGGCTAGCCTACAATCCCGTGTTCAACCGTACCAAGTGAAGCCTTAAGCTTTTGGTGATGACGTTGCAGAAATTGCCTGTCCAGAGGCGAACATATGTTCTCTTGTAGTTGAGAAAGAAAGTCAACCATGAATGTCTGGAAGCACATAGATAATTGTGTATTTAAGAGGCTGTACGAGTTGCATGCTGCCAAGTTATTTATGTCGTCGTCTCGATGCGCACTCGGATGCCGGAGAAACCCCTTCCAGCGGCTGAAACCTCCGTGCCAACACAAACCTCACCGCATCATGCAGGACTCGGGTTCATCGGGTCAACTTTTGCTGCACGTCTCGGGGCGTCAGATCTCATTTCAATTCTTCCCAGGCACAGGTACCAACCAAAGATCTTGACGGCATTGCTAGCTGCAGCTTTCTGCAGCGCCAAGGTTATGGTGCATATCGAGGTCATCCCAGCCACGCATCTCGCGCTCGCTCTCAGGCTTTTCGACATGGGGTCTATATGATTTTTCGGAAAGAATTAAGCTCTCGTAAGTGCGGGAAAGATGCTTTTTGTCATGTCTGGCCTAGTCTGGTAAATACCTGTCAGCTTGGGGATCCTAGCTGATGGTTTGGTTTCGGACGTCCGATCAGCCTCATGTTTTCCTTATTTATAGACTTCATGTGCCCTCTTCACGTTATTTTCTTAAATCTCATTCAGTCATCATGCGTTTCTTGTCAATCCTGTCACTCGCGATTGCGGCTTCGTCGGCCCAAGCCAGCACTTTCCCGGGTTATTCTTTCACCACGGAACCAACATCTGAAATCAAGAACGTGCTGTCGCATTACTGCATTATTCTTGACACCAAGACATACTCAGATCTGTCTAAAGTTTATACCTCTGATGCCGTTGCGGATTTCACCACGATTGGACTGGGTGTCCTCAAAGGGCTACCGGCTATTGAGACAGCGATGAATGCGTCTCTGTTTGGAATTCCAACTCAACATGGAATGACCACAAGCTATGTTTCAGATATTTCTGAGAAAAGTGCAAATGCCACTTCATAGTGAGTGTCGCATTTTGTTATTTTATTGTGGCTTTACTCACCGATTTCAGCTACACGCTTCAACAATTTGGCACAGGAAATAACACTGGCCAGCTTTTCACTGTTTGGGGGAAGTGGGTGGACGAGCTTGTGTATGACAACAGCACGTGGAAAGTCAAGAACAGACAGGTCGTTGCTATGGGTGGACCGTTGATTGGAAACTTCATCGTTCCGACACATTGAGAGAGATCGACGGAAGTGGCGTTGGGCTCGTGTTGATGAGCACAAAGTAATATAATTATAATACAACACTCCAAGTTGTGGCAACGACGGCCAAAGCACATACTAGCCGAAGCTATGTGATAAACTTGATGCAAAGTATGGAGACACTGCCCTGGAGAGAATGAGCTTCACGTGAAAATCAAACTTACTGGTGAGCACTACTCATCAATGTCTGTCGCAAATGTCACGCAATTCACCCCAGTCAAAGTGTGTACCTCTGCCCTCCAATTGGTCAAAAGTTTCGAGATATTTCTCTTCGTAGCCTGAGATGAATGGCGGTTCTTTCCTTTCAAACACTTCATCCCTCATTCGGTCTCTGTCTTCGCAGAACTGCAGGAACCATCTCTATGGACTTCCAAGCTTCAAGAGATGCTTTGTTGCACTCAGAAGAGCTTATCAACTCTCGGTATAACGTCTCTCGCATGCCATCTATCATTTTGCCCCAGAGCGCAAGTCTATCATCCCTTGGGCTCAGTGTCTCTACTCTCGTTGGGATAATCTCTCTAGTTAACTTGTTCGTCTTGTCCTGAAACACGAAGTACACCATTCTCAACTTGTCACACAGTCCAAGTTGAGCTCCAATTGCTTGAATAATATGTGAGTCTCCTCCGAAAGCAATGTTGCGCGGCTTCGTGTCCTCACCACTTGTGGACCTGACGAGATTCCACATAAAATGTTCCAGTGCGGTACTTCGATGCCAAAGGTCTTCCGGACTCCAACTCGGCTCTCTCAAGTTCAAGCTCTTTAGTGAGAGATATAACACATCTGCATCGTGATTGATCAGAAGCTTCAACGGGTCAGGTTCTCGTCCGTTGTCTTTCCAAATCTCATATTCTTCATCCCGGGATAGCCATGGTACTGGTCCATATAGGTCTGTAGGTGTGTGCGGCATAGTAAGAAGAACATGCTTCTCGAAAGCTCGTTTGCGGGATTCTTGACATGTGTGAAAAAGGGCAGGAAGCTTGGCATGTGTGAAGAAGATGTCCCAGCGCTTGCTTGCTGAGAGGCCAATTTCCACGACACGGCCCTCATCCAAGATAGCATCATAGATCTTGAGTCTCAACTCGAATGGTAGAGTTGGAAAGAGTGTAAACTCGAGAGCGTAGGTGAAAGGAAGGACGCCAACCATGTTGATGTTCGCTATCCTCTTAGACATTGGATGATTGATTCTAGTTGTTGAGTCGCGGATAGGTCTGTGTCAACTGAGTAGGAAAATTATTCGCTCAGGGGTTGAGACTTATACAGGTTCGATAAGTAGAGCGCTGTAAGCTGTTGCGGAAGTAAATGTGAGGTCGTTGAGATGACCAGGAAGTTGGTTTCTTACATAATCGCCAGACTCAGCAACAATTTTTTGCAGATACCTCTAGTCGAAGAGGTCATTCAATCATCCATTATCAATTTGTCTCAATCTTACATAGATAGTATCTATGTCTGCTTCCTCTCTCTCGAATCGACAATTCTATCCACCTCCTCATCTGGCAGATTCTCATTCCTCGCAATTCCATCCTCAGAAGGTTGCAAATCCACACCTGGACCAGGCTCCGCATATCGCTCCAAGTCACTCTCCTTCTGCCTCGAATGCTTATCATACCTATCATGTCCCTTACTCAACGGCTCGTTCGCACCATAATGTAATCGTTTACTCTCGACTGCTCCAGGCAATTGGTCTCTATAAATACATCCCCAGGTTAGCGACCGCTTCCTTCGTTCTGTGGAAAGGCCGCAGATCAAACGTGGAGTGACATACCCGGTGCCGGTTTCTACTTCTCCGGTTGCTCCCATGTCTCGCACACCGCGAGAGATATCTGTAGGATTGCTTGCAGCGCTTGCGAGGGAACTTCTGTTCGCGTTGACATCTCCTTCGCCCTCACCTGGTCTGGGCACTGATGGGATTGTCCTCATTTTCCCAGCATCGTTGGGAATCGTGGTGCCATCTTTGGCCATGTCGAAGAGGTCTCCGCCTTGATGAGGATCTTGTGCCATTGTGGATGCTGATGTATCTGTTTATTGTCTTCTTCTTTTACGTATCGAGTTGTTCGGAATCTTTTGAGGTACGCCGTGGTCGATTCTGAGGAACTGAAGCTTGATGTTAGTCTGTGTTTTGTTAGTATTATAGCAATAGTCCCAATTGGCAGTGAGGTCAGTCACTGTCGTCATACTGAGGGCGCAGGAGCTGACCTCCGAAAAGTGTTGAAGTCATGAAGTCAGAGTGATCTCCGCATTTTGAATTCCTTGGCATTACACGTGATGCTCCATGGACGGCGAAATTGTGGAGGAGGTCCGAATTTCTGGTTAATAAGAACGAAACCGGTCTCGTAAGCATTCAAATCTATTTACAACAGCCATCACCGTTAATAAAGAATATTATCGAAAGGAAGAGTACGAATCGTTCCAGGTCGCAGGATCCCAATCCACTAAGTTCACGTAACGCAATTCTGCTGCTGCTTCCCGCATACGCCTCTTATGCCAACGCCAACCTACCCTATGCCAATTATGTGCCGAGAAAGCTATCTCTACACCTTCATATCACCTGGACGGCTCTATTACCCCGCAAATAAGCATTCAAACTATTAATCCAGTTCCGTGTTCGGCAGGCTAAAAGAGAAGAAGTTGACGGAGCTCAGACGATGGCGTTCGAAAGGCCCCTGACTAAAAAAAGGAGGCTGCATTTTTCAATGTCATCTTAACCTCGCGGCTGGCTCTGGGAGCTTTCAGCAAGCCGCAGTCCTCGAAGGCTTGACAGGCCTTGGGAGATTTCCATGCTGGACCCGCTCGACCCAGTGATCGCCCACTGAATGGCTTTATTTCTAGGCCGAAACTTCCTCGATCGTTTCATTGTTTCAGCGGCGGTCCATGCAATAAGCAACGATTCTCAGCCAGTGGAGCATGTCACGGCATAACACTGGTTGGTCTTTCGAGCCTCTCCGGCAACGACTTCTGTCGCAGGCCCAACTCTGATACTTTCCGCCCATTTAAGAGCACGGGATCGGCGCCTGGACAGGGTAGAAAAGCTTGATTCCTCTTGTGCTCCGAGACCCATGTCTCTCAGGATCTGTTATTGAACATGGGGCAATGGAGCTCGGTTTTCCTTTCTACATTTCAATTTAACTCAACCCCAAATTCTTCACTCATCTCACCTCCTTTTCTCTTATTTCGTGGCGTTATATTTCAATCTTTGCCAATACTACCCACTTTTCAGCTTCCTCGGCTGCCTCCACTTCAATTCGAGGGTCGGCTCTACATGATTGAACGGTCCAGCATTCACTGAAAGTTGACTGCTGTGCGGTCCTTTCCATTCACCTTCACCTTCAATTTCATGGTTCAGTGAACCGTCAAAACTCGAATCTTTTTTTCTCGATCTGATACAATGATCAAAGACTACCAACCGAAGCTGATATGGGCGATCATTGAAGCAGATACGGCTCAACATCCCGACCACACGATCTTTCTCAGTTCGGGGCGAAGGTTGCTACAACGGATGGCTCTCTCGTTGCTTCCAAGCTTCGTCCAGAAGAAGCTCCGTCCGGGTGTCGTGAAACCTCAGCGATTACATCCAACCTCTTACCTCGATGGCTTACGCGGGGTAGCTTCTTTCGTTGTGTTTATGGGACATTATACAGAAGAGAATTTAGGATGGTATACTGAACCATATGGGCTATACGAAGATGGAGCACCCTCGTCGCCATTACAACTTCCGTTTCTACGGGTGATATACTCTGCTCGCCCGATGGTTCATATATTCCTCATTATCTCTGGATTCGTCCTTTCATATAAACCGCTCAAACAGATACGCTCGAACCAATACTCGGCATTGGCCAATACACTCTCATCTTCGGTATTTCGACGAGCCCTCCGCCTTTTCCTTCCTTCCTTTGTAACCTTATTCCTCATGGCTGTTGCCCTCAACTATGGCATTTCTGACGACAGATACGCCGAACGATACTTTGACCTTCCTTCACAACTACGTCATGTCTGGAATACATGTTCGCAGCTCCTTGGAGCATCTTGGGCGATAGACGATCTTTCGTACCCACAACCCGTTTACAATCCTGCGCTATGGACGATACCTGTCGAGTTCTCGCAGTCACTTTTACTTTTTGTCGTCATTCTTGGCTTGTCTCGATGTATTGCTAATTTGCGATTACTCTTACTTGCTGGTATCTCATGGTTCTGCTTCTACAGTGGGCAGCTTTACGCCGTGGAATTTCTTGGTGGGATGTTTATTGCAGAGCTCACCCTCATCCAGGACGAGACCCTTATGACACCGGTGTCTAGTCCAACACTTCCAGTTTTCAACTTTGGAGAGAAGCCGAGACAGGTAGATTGTGGGAGTACACTCAAACAGAAGTTCATGCAAGCATTTTGGGCTGCAAATGTTGTTAGCGGCCTGTTTATTGCTTCCTGGACGAACGACCACATCGAGGAGGTTTGGGGATTGTCATTCTTGAATGCGCACACCCCAGAGCCATACGACGGGCAAAAAGTCTGGTTTTGTTTGGGAGCTTTCCAGATCGTGGCAGCATGCACTCAACTCCGTTGCTTACAGTCGATCTTTAACACTTCAGTCGCGCAGTACCTGGGCAGCATTTCCTACGCTTTGTACCTGACGCACAACCTGTGTCTCACAACACTGGAACCGAGATTTGTTCCGATCATCGATACATTCTTCAGCAAGGCTACATTCTGGGGTAGGCATTATGCATGGTTGGCGGGCTTGGTCATTTACCTTCCGATCATCATCTTCGTCGCGGATCTGTTCTGGCGGGCAGTCGATACGCCGACAGTGAAGTTTGCGAAGTGGTTTGAATCAAAATGTGTAGTAGAAAAGAGACCATAGATTTCGGTCACTGTATGGGCATTGGATAGGCTGTCGGAAAAAGGCGTTCAGGTCAGGTTAGCATTCGACTACGGCGTTTTGGAAATACATTTGTAGCTGCATACTCGGTACAAGATACTCGAGTTCTGTCATTATACAGACAGTACTAGGCCTAAATGCAATTAGATCAGACAAGATTTAGAACTCTTCCTTGCACTTGGTGACTTTCGCACTCATGGATCCACACGATTCGTGACCCTGCTCAAGTGAGCAACATTTGCCTATATACGCGAGTGCGTCTATCATACACCCTCGAAGCAGAGATCCATTTAGCCGAAGTCTATCTCATCTTCATGTTCTTGTCTCGACCATGCACCAAGGTCCCAAATACTGGGGGTTCAAGAAGATATGTCATCTCAAACCCGCATGATACATATCTTCTCACACCGAGTTTGCCGATCTCAAATTCATGCCTACCACAAATTCGACGATCACAAATGCTTGTCCAGTAGCGATCTTCCTCTATTCTTCAGTTCATCGTGGGAGACAATCTGTTCTGCTCCACCGTTGATGGCAACGTCAATCATCGAAGCAGCCAATTCCTCTGCTTTTAGCGCTGGATACAATGAGTTCGTTAGGGACCCAGCAATACTCAACAACTTGTTGTTCGGCGGAATCACACTTCCTACTCTGGGAAAATATGCAGCGAAAGTTTCCTGATTTTCTTCTTGGAGCTGGTTGAGCTTGATCTCGATTTCTGCCTACAATGACTGTCAGAAACACGTCGATTAATTTGGTCGGTATGAGTATACCTTGATACGTATCGCATCATTAAAAAGCCCATTCTTTTTCTCTAAATCACGATGCACCGCATGTCCACTAACATACAGGAACCTAAACTTCCTGCCCGGAGAACACAGCCTCTCAATAAACGCCTTCGCGGCCTCGAAGGGATAGTCGATATTAACCTTCCTGGCAGTTTCAAGATCTAGAAATCTTGAGGGTATCCCGCCTAAGGACCAGATGCAAGCTTCTGCTTCTTCGAGGTCTGTCCAGATGTTGTTGGGGCAGGAGGTGAAGTCTGAGAGGATGATGACTTTGACCTTGGGTGAGAGTTGGGAAGGTTGAAGGTCTCGGCGAGAGAGGACGATGATAGATGTTATGGACGGGTGGAGGATGGCTTGGCGGAGGACTTCTGAGCCGATCATGCCCGTGCAGCCGGTGAGTATGAGTTTCATGGTGTTGATGTTGATGAAAGAGGTAGAGAAGAAGTTGCAGGGGAGGATTGGATGAGAAGCAGTGATGTGTTTCTCACCTGCTTAATGCCGATTTTGAGGTCTGATTTCGGAGATCTGCCATGTATAAGTTATTTACTCTACGATATATATTGCTCTCATCACGTACCTTGGGAAGTATCTTGGTATGTATGAGCGCCGGTCCAACACCGAAACAAAGGCCGAGTCGGCATTCGATTATAAAAATGTCCTCTTGTTTCTATACTGTTCTGCATCTCCTCAAAGACCTTCATAAAGCAACCTAAGAAGGGCGAAGGAGCGCATTGCCATGCTGACCGACATGCGTCGAGTGACCATCATTGTCCCTGACATGGACAATGTGATCGAGTCGGACATGGTCAACACAGGCAAGTCGTACATAAGGTGGAGACCTTCGGGACAAACATTCACCCATACAAGAATGCTCAAAAGTACAAGATATCTTCTTTTCCAGAGACTTGGTCCAGAGCTTCATGATGGCATCACCTTCCCTTGGTCCTAGTGGGTCACGTGCTTCCCCTTTCTCCGCACTTCATCGTTGGCGTTCAACTAGAGTATACAACAGCATAACTTGTTCTTGATACTTTTCACATTTATCATTTCCTGTTTCTAAAACCTCATTTCATCCTCGAATCTCAAAAATGGCAACCTCAATACCAAACATGGACGACAAAACCATCGCAGCAGCAAAGCTCCCCGTGAAACGAACCTCAACTCACATCTATTTCTTCGGCTACGAAGGCCCCGATCCAGAAGTTTGTTTCCAGCAGTGGTTCCCAAGCCATTTCGAAGATGGAGATCTCAGCTTTCGGACAAGTGAACATTACATGATGTATCGAAAAGCAGTCTTATTTGGTGACCAGGGAGTAGCGGATAGGATATTAGTTGCTCAGACACCCGGGGAGGCTAAGACGTTGGGTAGAGAGGCTGGGTAAGAATTTTCTGTGATGGCGAGCAACGCTGAGGTTGTTAGTCCGTTCGATCAAGCGAAGTGGGATAGTTGTTGTGATGATATTGTTGAGAAGGGGAATTATCTCAAATTTAGTCAGAATGAGAGTTTGAAGAAGATTCTGCTGAATACGGGGGATAAAATTATTGTGGAAGCGAGTCCTAGTGATCGTATTTGGGGTATTGGGTTTGATACTGAGAATGCGGAGGGAAATAATAAGGACTGGGGCCAGAACAAATTGGGAGAGGCTTTGATGAGAGTGAGGAAAAGGTTGAGATCGTCAGAAAGTAATTAGCGGGAAAGGAATGTCTTCATATCGAGTGTGTCACCTTTATTGTGTAACATATAGGTAGGTATAACTTTCTAAAATATTGAAATGAATTGCTATCACTGTTTCGGACAATCTAGGCAGGAAATGTTCGGTAAGCTCATGCAACCAGCGTGAGCATCCTGTAACGCCATACACCAAAAAGCTCATCCCACAATCTATACCATCTCAGTTCTCGACACTGACTCCTTTACTCCTGCAGAAGAACGCTCCGCTCATCTCTCGCATTCACCCAAACATATTCAACACATCTCGGATCAGTCTTTCCCTCTCCCAAAGTCACCGCTAACAAGTTCACTTCCAGCAGAACTGGACGCATTCCCAGATTCTCCGCCCTTTCCCACCACCTCATAAATCTCTCAAATCCCACATTCTTATCATCCACTAAGTGTAACTCAATCATAATCTGTCCAACAGGCATCACACCTCCTCCCTCCTTCTCACAGAAATCCATGAAAGAATCAAGACTCTCATACTCCGCTCCCTCAATATCGATCTTCAGTATATCAATATAATCATGCTTATTCTCCTTCATCAACGTCTGCAACGCGAAGAACTGAGGCGAGCGCGTATACTCATCCTTCGCCCCTAAACCCACTTTACTGAAATGAGCACGAGCAGAATACGACGGAGAGATCTGGGGCCCGAATCTCGAGACCGAGAAGTCGAATGCGTACACATGAGCGCTCGGTATCCGGGCCAACATCTCTGCTTCGAAGGTACTTTCATCGTTGACCCCGAAACTGTAGATAATTGTTGGGGCCCGGATTCGAGAGTCGGAGGAGTACGATGGATGAGAGACAGCGAGGCCGGGTTTAGCTTCGTAGAGAGACATCCCGCAGACCCATTTCCCGCCATCTCCTAACCGGCCTACTCGCTGTAAGTCATGGGGACAGGTGTAGGTCGAGGGGAAGAAGTCCCAGAGCGTGTAAGGGTATTTGCCGAAGTCGGACATTTGTTGAGCTGGGAAGAAAGGGATGTTTGGGTTGGACGGGTGGGCAGCTGCCATTTGGTGACGGAGGGCGACGCTTGAGCGCCATGCGGATTGGGAACGTGCCATTCGTTGCCGCGTTGTGAGGCCTATGGGGATTGGGGAGTGATTTGAGGGAACTGTGGCTTGTTGTAGCGAGGTTGTGAGGTTGAAGAGAGTTCGAGATTGGTGGATGACAACGAAAAAGAAGAATGTGAAAGCGACCCAGAACCAGAGGCCGCATACTGGAGAATAGCATTAGATTGAATATTTTCAGTAGGAAACGATTACAAACTTTGGACAATTCGGACACCCATGTTGAAGGGATGCCTTTTGGAAAAAGCTACAATGAAAAATGAGCAAAAGCCCAGAGTAGATTTCAAGAGAATGATGCGAAGTTGATTCAGCAGAATCCAAATGACAACACATCTGCCACTATTGAGAGGATTCGAAATAAGTTAAAGTTAAATATTCTTCCCGAAGACAAACAATGGCCAACAAGGGATATCAGACGAGCTTAAGCTGGCATCGAAGCCTGCTGAAGCCAACTGAAGCCAATCTCTTCGTTACAAATTTTCACTGTTTCACAGCACCAGTCGCAACGACTGACAAGAGGACTTTGGCACTTGGCAAGATCAGACCAGACGAAGACACATCGGATCGTATCATGGCTTCCACTTCTAGCCTCCCAGAGAGGAGACAAAGGTGGAGCTGGGGAACTCTGCCGAGTATGTCCCCATAAAAATATGATAACGAATGGCTCTGAAAAGAAGGTCAAGGGATCTCGGAGAATTTATACAGCTCAAAATCAACAACATTTGACTCGTAAAGTTTCATTCCTTTGCTGATGTTCAGACAAACCCCACTTCGCCGTCTTGGCATGTTCCAGAAACGGAGGCGAACAGAACCTAAAGTCAGCCTCGTCAATGCTACCACTTCTCTTCGGGACTGTCACGAATCCCAATACAAGCACAGCATTGACCTCTGTGAAGATCCGGAACAGATCAAGTCCAAACTTGTTTGATATTCGTGGAGACGACGTCGATCAGATGCGGGAAGGTCCTTGCTATGCTTGCATTTCTGTAGGCTGGGTGTCATGATATCTTGGCTGTCCTTGTAATTCTGCTTGAGGAGCTTGGATAGGATCTTTGCCTAGTGGTGGAGATGCAGGTGGTACTGCATTATATCTTGTCATATTGATTCCGGGCATTTCTTGAACGTCTCTATTGTAGGACCTTCTTCTGTAGTAGAAGAATAATAGGCCAATAACAGCTAGTACTGCGATTCCTCCGACTACTCCTCCTGCTATAGCACCAGCATTGCTCTTTGATGGACTAGAAGCTCCTGATGTTGAAGCGGGTGGTGGCGCTCCGGGTGTAGAAGAAGAGGACGAGCTTCCAGTGGAAGCAGAGGAGCTGGTGGCCTGGCTTGAGGACGTTGAAGGCGTTTGGATACCATAATTCACCACCGAAAATGATCCTGGCGCAGTCGTGCCTGCGACACCAGAAAGTACTCTAGGAAGATTTATTGTCCCTGTGAATCCAGTATATGTATAGTCGATTTGAAGCTGAGAAGGAGCAGACGCTACACATCGCAATTCTGTCACCGAGTTGGGGTAGGAGTAGGTTGCACAGAGAGGGGCTGCCGTTTCGCTACTATTTGTTGCATTGTTTGTTAGTCAATGATCGAATTGTATGCCAAGAGTTAGTACTTACCAGACCAAATTTGCTCCATTTGAATTACACGCCGAACCACAAGACGCCGTCAGAGGGAAGCAAGCCGTCCTGAATAAAGGACAGTCATTACCGGCACAACATCCGATGGCAGATACTCCCGGATCGACTAAACAAGTGAATTCCGGTACTGCGCAGACCCACGGTTGTCCTGTCATGGTCAGCACCCATCCAGAACTCCTCTAAATGCAAGAAACAAGTTCACGAACCTGGGTCGCCTCCTACCCAACCACAAATATCTGTCGCTAGACCATCATTTGGAGCCGTGGTAGTCGCAACATCACGCAATTCGATTCTGGTAGGAAGAACATTTGGTGTCACCTGTGCAGGCGTTGCATGAAACCTCCTGTCAGGCGAGGCTGTACAAGTTGAGATAATGAGAAAGGCTGCGGCAAAAACGAATGTATCAATGAAGAACAACATGTCTCGAATCAACTGCAAAGCAACATGAAAATGAATCAAGAACTCACAAAGGTATTGAAAGGAAAGGGGTTTGAGAAGTGGGAGGGATTTGGAATCCACGTTGCGACGTTGCTAGTGCTTGTTCGTCGCCCCCAAATCCACGACTCCTCATTTAGATCTTATCGAAGACCTTCTTCATGAGGCTAGTGAGGCGTTCTCAGAACTCTAATCTAGCCACGATCCTCAAGACCCAAGAAGGCCATCTCGTTTCGGCCCGTAAACGGCGCGTAGACTGGTTGGCGAGGCTTAAAGTATACCAAGTACTTGGATTTGGTTGAAGGTTCCTCTACACTCGCTGGAAGAAACATCAACACAAGGTGGGCTTTCTACTCTACCTGGTACCGGGAAAGGAGCAAAAAGAGTTGTGAGGCTGAGTTCTTCGCTAAGTAAGCTGATTCCAATTGGTTCATCTTGCGACGAATTCACGCCAATTGGTGGAAGAGAAGACAAGGATATATACGAAATTTAGTCTCGAACCATTCCTTCAAGGCGAGACGCGCTGCGATTATGATTTCTAAACATCTTTGTCGAGATACCTTAGAAGAATTTTGTCTGCATCTAGCATACCGTGCTGGGGAACATGAAATACCTAGGTAGTATTGCTGTATTTCAAATCCCATCACGGCTCCTCGACTCCTTGTTTGAGTATTACCCCTTATCTCACTCTAATATGAAAGATATCAGAGGCAAGAAGCACTGAACATTACAAGCTAGATCAACAGGAGCTTTGCGGACAGCGCCAAGTCAGAAATTTGAGATTAACCTCGACGAAGCAGACTTGTCGATATTCAAGATTGTCTTACCGAAATCTAAAGGTCGCTCAAATATCCAGATAAATATGATTCTCATTGTTCAGGATTTCTGGTCCCATCATCGAGGTCGAAATGCCGAAAACATGACCACAGAAGCTTTGAAGTCTCGCGATTGATAGAAGCACATAGAAACAGTCCACGCAGCAGGATATACTAGACATCATGGTAGTACAGCGCCTGGTCCTCCAAAATTTTGCAGGACGAAAGTTGCGGTCCACTTCTGGAAAGGAGAAGGACATGCTGGTGATAATGATGCTGCAAGGGGACGATGAAGGTGGCGAGAAAGAGACCTTTTGGAAACAGATTCGGTCAAACCAGGTTCTACAGACTATTACTCAACAACAGTATTGCCTAATTTTCGGCCCCCAAAGTATCTCACAGCGTCGGGAGAACGCTCAAGATACATTCTGCTTCGCTAACCAGAGTCCAACATGGCCGCTAGATTTCGGCCATCTAGCGTAGTTCCGCTCGAGCGTTAGCACTACAATCATTAACTAGAACTTCTGATGCGAGGCTACTAATGAATTGCATTTATGAAGGTAAAGGATCGGTGAAGAGGGCTCAGCTGCGCCAGGCTTGAGATTGAAGGCCTCGTGTGTTTTGAAATGATAATGATCTGATTTTTCTATATGGAGATAAGAGCGAGGTGTAAAAGCAGAAGGACATGTAAAGGTGAGGCTCAGCCAGTCTGATGCACCCCCTTCCAGAGTACTTCTTTTCAAAAGAAACTTTCAGCCGTGTCATACACTTCAAGCTTCAAGACTTCGAATGGCACTGAAATTTATGGAACTGTCAACTGGTACAGTTTCTCAACATAGGAATCAAAGTAATCTACTTTATCTACTCGGTATTAAAAAGAAGAACAAACGTTGAGAACAAGCACAACCACTGAAAGTTTCAATTGATAGTGGCTTACGAATCATCCGAAGATGCACTGTGAGTAGCATGCGGATATGTATCTCCAACATGTGCACTCTTGATGTAGCTAGAGAGAATGAAGGGGTAAGCAACTGGCTTCAAAACTGCAACAAGGAGAATTGGAAGGGTTGTCCAAGCTCCTTCTGATGGCCGCTTTATTGTAACTTCTACGACATTTGCGCTCTTCAATGTCCCATTCTCTACTGGACGGCTCCAAGAATAGATCAGCGAAAATTGTCAGGCGCGTAATACAGACATTCAGCCAATAGCCATACCGTTGGAATTCAGTGTATACAATCAACGCCCGTCTTGATACACACAGGAACATAAGATCGCGTTGGAATAACAAAAACCTGATAATGCCGTCGGATTTGTCTCCACTGCGGGGTATTCCCAACAAGCATCTTATCGGCCAATGCCTGCAGCCTTGCTGCAAAGCAGACACACATAAGCGCTGATTAGAAAATGTTGGAGTTTCGGATGAACAGCTCTAAGTCGATGATTGTCAGTGGTGTTTAGAACAGGATTCGTGAGGATGATGGAAATGCGTTTGATGATCTTGACGTCTCTGCGCCCAGCCTCCGATTTTAACCTTAGCTTGTAGTACATACAGGTAGCGAGTAGGCGCCATCGTAGCCTACCCGCCAGCCGCACATGGGGCCCAAACAGGATCTTTTCGTTTTTTGACAGGTTGATAAAAGTGAGGCAAATGCTCTGAATTCATTTTTGCTGCTGTTGTATTATGTGTGCATCCGAATCCGCTCCAAGCGGCACATAAAAAAGGTGAACTTCATTGGATTCGAGCCCAACATTACCATCACGGCCAAGCGAATCCTTGTCTAACAGCGAATCACCCTTTCACAACACATCAACCTCGAGGTACGACCCACAACTGCCTTTCGAACAACAACGATCTCCTTGCTTGCCATCGCTTTTTCCCCTTGATGAGCCGATGCCATCACAAGCTATTGCGTAGCTTCTTCACAATTTTCAGCACACCGCCGTCGATTCTGTCCCACATGCCACTTGGAATCTTGCAACCAGCCAGCTCGACCCTCTAAGCGCCAACCGATCTGAGCTCACCAAACAGCAAGATGGCATATAAAGACCACGACGAGGTGGTAGAGGAGAGGCCAAGTGAGAAGAGACATCGTGAGAAGAGAGAGAAAGACCCAAATCGAACCCATAGGTCGTCGAGAAGTTCGCGACCGAAGATAATCGACCCCGAGACTGGTGAGCCTGTCAGATCATCACACCGTCGCCGAAAGGATAAGGATAGGGACGCAGAGAAGGACAGAGATTCCGAGCCATCTACATCTATGGCAGATCTAGTTCCTGAACTCTCGCGCACCGCTTCAGCCCCTGGCGCGACGTCACGAAGCAGCTTGCCTTACCCAAGCTTCAACAAAGCTCATAGCAAGGAGGCAGTGAATAGTAGGGACGATGTCAGATTGCCAACAAAGGATGTGAAGAGTCCATATACACCTGAGTCGACAGACGTTGGAGAAGAGGAGAAAGCCAGGACGAGATCTGCAGAAAACATCCCTCCTCAAGGAGCTACTGTTCCCAAGGATGGCAGACCACCTAGCCCTCCGGAGACGGACTTGTCACAGCAGAGGAAGGCCACACCCACAAGAATGACCAGAGTACAAGAAGATGTAGAGGAGGAGAGACCAAGTTCTCGTACTTCAGGAGTTAGGAGGACATTTACTAGGGACAGGGATGATCGATCCAGACTCTCTATGAAGTCTAAGAATTCATCGAGGGCTAGCACTGCGATCAAGTCACCAAAATTCCCACGCGATGGATCATCTACAGATAATCTTGTCAAAGATTCGGTTCTTAGCTCCGGTGTCGATTCCAATGTCACATCAGTTGCACCAAAGCGTGAAGCACCAGAACCACCCTACTTGGAAACAGGTTCATCTCCTGCTTCTGCACAAGACTCGTCTCCCAGAACGCCTACACAAGCACCGTCGTTTATACCTCCTCCACCAAGTGTGAAGCCGTCCCCGTCGCCATTCATTCACTTCGAACCACAATCTGAAGCAGAATCAACTGCATACGACTCTCCACAACCCCCACCACCACCTCCACCTCCTGTACCAATCAGCATACCCCGTGTCGATTATCTGATGCAAAATGGTGGGTTGCTGAGACCGGTATCGAAGAATTTGATCTCACCAGCACTTCCACTACAAAATATCCAGTCTAGGGAAGCTACACCTGTGCCATCTGAAATTGAGAAGATTTTCGGTCCATTCTTCAATGTGCTGGATCAATATGAGACTGTCATTGGGAAAAATGGTTCGCTTGCAGTGGCTACAGGTTATCGCTCAGTTGCTAGGAGACTTCTTGATCGATTGGAGAATGTCTTCAATCGAGACTTGTCATCCGAAGGTTGCACATGTGTCATGTGCGAGCATCCAGATCTCTCTGTTCATGAAGGTAGCAGGGGACTAGGTTGGGGCGAAGTGCTAGAATGGGTTAGTGGTCGACGTGAATTGCCTGTTTGGCCGGCCTTTGACTTTGCTACCCTTGGGGTCAAGGCTGGAGAGGATCTTGCAGGTCTTGGTATCTCACAGTCGACTGAGAATATCATCAGACCTGGATCACCTACGAAGATCGATCCAGATGTGGCTGAAGAGTTCCGAGAGCATTATCTGGCCCAGAATATCAAGAAGAAGGCCGCCGTTGACCGATGGCTTTCCAGCTGCCCTCAGACAGCAGCCACTCCTCCTCAAGAAGTCGATGATGAGACACTCTCTTTCGCCATCCTGACTCATCTCGATCAGCAAGATCAGCCAATCTTCAATGCACTGGTGTCCGGTTCCAACATCTTGCAACCTGTCCGAGCACCACCTGCAACCCGAAAGCCTCGTTCTGAATTCATGGTCAAGACTGTGCACTCAATACAGAGACTCTACAAATTGCAGCAACCACCCAGAGATCCTGAGGCTGCTATCTATTTGCTGAAGCATCCTAATTTACACAACCTCCTTGCCACCCTGTCTAGCATCAACCAGTCTGAATGGGAGATTCTTACATCTGGTCGCTTCGATGGGTTCTTGTGGTCAGGAGCTGAATCCGAATCCACCAATCCATCGCCAGCTCCGTCTCGTGGGCCAACCCCATTGAATGGTATGAGTAGTATGGGCGGTATCCCATATCGCGGTGCGATGTCACCAGGCGTGGGCATGGCTGGTATGCGACCCGGTCCTGGATCGAGGACTACCACACCCTTTGGGGCCTTCCGTAATCAGACTTTCTCCCCATCCATGGGATTAGGTGGCTTTCAATCTCGAGGCCCAACCCCATTTGCACAAATTCGTCAACCAGTTTCCAATGATGAAGAAACCGAGATTCAGGTCTTAGCTGAAGTCGAGCGCGAGATCTATCTTGGAATGGAGGCACTAGAAGATGCATTTGAGGGTCTACATCGCAAGGCTGAGGTTGTTAGACGTGCACTTCGAGAACGCGGTGCCGGTCTTTCAATGTCCTTGCAGAACCGACGAACTAGCTTCCCTGATATCCTCAGCTCTGGTACACCTGGACCACAATATGGTTATGGTATGGGTCCTGGTTATGAAAGACAAGCATGGGGAGATGGCACTGAGGTTATGAGCGAGAGCGATTGGGAGAATGGAGACGAGATGAGTGAGATCGCACCTGATGACTCGGCTAGCAACATCAGCAGCTCGAGGCACAGGAGACCGAAGCGAAGAAATGAGAGAAGAACTCCTGCTCCTGTGGAGGAGGAGGACGAGGAAGACGACTGAGTTATCTGAGAGCGTGTTTGCCTCTCATATCCTTGTTTGGTCCTTTTCATACGATGATTTATGACGACACGAAAATGATAGTTGACAGCAGCGAAATGTGCAGATTATCGTACAGGATATGTATGGATTGACTTGTGGAGTACTTGAAAAGAATGTTGGTTGTGGAAGTTTCAGATTTGGAAGGAATATCGGGTCTTGTAAATGGATCGAGGAGGTATCACTGCATGGTCTGGCGTTCTATTGCATAGCATGATCGGCGAGGTCTTTCCGAATCTTAGGGCCACTATAGCCAGTCGAATGGGAAAAAGAATAATGCATACTTTCCACTTATATCATGCTCTGTGCTCACTTTTCGATACAACTTTTGAATTCAAACAGACTTTTGACTGTCGTCAGATCGCGGGATCAATGTCCGGAATCCGTTGTCACAATCAGATATTCGCGCTGTGAGCGTTACATGCGCATTTTGTTGGTGAAGGCGAGACCATCACAAAAAATAGGCTTTTGTTGCACATCGCGAAGTTTAAAATGTATGCCTGCTTGGAGATCTGTACTGTAGTCTGCGCCTCCAATGTGCCTTACTTGAAGTGAGCAACTTAAGAACAGTTATCTCCGAAGCATTTACCAGACTCTCCATCTGTGAAAATCCTAGCCGATTTTGGTATTCGAGAACACTGAAATGTCCCGTACCAATTCTAGCATTGCACACTAGTGCATTGTCCGTTTCTAATTGAATTCAAGTTCTGACTTATCAAGAAGCTATTCTACGTTCTCATTAAAAAAAATTAAATATAAAATTAAATTGTTATACGTAATACTTTACATTTTGTGAATTTGGGCCTTGTCGCAAAATCGGCCACGAAATTCACCGATGGAGAGCCATCTAGATGTACGGCACTCGGTAAAAGCGGCTACAGACACCCCCAATATTCACTCTAGGATTTCCCGTTCACCAAGAATGCTTCTAAATGCACACCCTCAAATATCTATATGAATATTTTCATCATTCTTCAAGCCACAACCGCCACCCTCAGAATACCGACATCAAATTCTCAAACCCGGTTCACATCTCGATCACAAACTTCAAAACCATCTCCATCATCCCCGATGAAAAAGCTTGTCACAGCACAACATCGGAGCAGAACCTATTTACAGAAGGCCAAAGCTAGTCCAGAGAGAGAAACCTAATCCAGTAGACAAGTCCGCCACCACCTCGGCATCCCGCCCATATTTGCGACGGCGCCTAGCGATGGGATGGGATGGATGGATGGATGCATACGCATCTATCCTGTTTTTTTCCTGGTTCCGGATCTGATGCACGTGTGCCTCCTACTGGCTGTCTCCTTGGCATGCATCGTTGATAGGTGATCAGCATTCAAGAAGCCGTCTGAGATCGACGGCTTCAGGTCTGCGTTACTGGGCTGGCGTCATCAAGTCCCGATGCACACTTACCCAATCGCACGTGCGATCTGCTATCGTTCGGGAGGCGGAGTTGGAGTGCAGGTTGATATGCTACAGTATTCGGAGCACTGCCCGCCCTTGCAGGTGAGGGGCAGATTTGCCATGGATGGCAAAGTCGAAATGAAGGTGGAGAGTGTATATCAATGAGGCTGGCTTCCTCGGGATGGAGTTCTGAATGTGTAGGTCTATCTCCTACCGTGGATCCACTTCCCGCTCGTTTGGTTCTTAAGATCCCAGACTTCCATTTCACTTCTGTTCTGTTGCATCCCGTTTCGATTCTTGCATATCTGGAGATGTTGGGCCCGCTTCTTTTGTCGGCTGTGTTTTCTGTAGTTCCGGTTTTCGCTTCATATGCACCGCAGAAAGAGATATGTCCGATCACTTCGATTGTTCGAGCTGCAAACGGTCTTTCGGATGATGAGGAGACGTACAGAGTGGCCAGGAAAGCGGTTGCCGATGTTGCCTTGAAAGCATGGCTGGCGAAGACGGATTCTGGTTTTGGGACGGATAATTTGCCCACGGTAGATATATATGATCTTTTCTGAAGGCATTACTGATGCAGATAGGTTGCGATAACGACCAGTGGAGGTGGATACAGATCTCTCCTTTCTGGAGCTGGTGTAATTCAAGCTCTCGATGATCGAGACAGCAATGGGACCACAAGCGGTCTCTACCAAGCAATGACTTACCAAGCTGGTCTATCGGGAGGAGCTTGGTTGTTGTCCTCAATCGCTGGGAACAACTATCCTACGGTTTCTTATCTCAAGGAGAATCTATGGCACGAAGCATTCAGAGACAGTCTCTTAGATCCAGACTTCTTACTCGCATCTGTAGCCTACGTCGAAGTCGTTTCTGATATTGCGGAAAAGGATGCTGCAGGCTACGATGTCACATTGACTGACCCGTGGGGAAGACTGCTTTCCTATCAGCTGCTCGACGGGACAGATGGCGGAGTATCAACAACGTTGTCATCAATCACGGGATTTTCAAACTTCACATCTCACGCCGTTCCGTTTCCAGTCATCACCTCTCTTGGAGTTAAAGTCTGGGAAGGACAATGCCTACCCGGACCCAACGCCACAACATATGAATTCAGTCCTTATGAATTTGGAAGTTGGGACAGTGACGTGAGCGCCTTCGTTCAAACCCATTATCTCGGGACCTCAATGAGCGAAGGCAAACCCACAGGCCTCTGTACCACCAATTACGACAATCTAGGCTACGTCCTCGGCACTTCCAGTACCTTATTCAACGAGCTCTGTCTCAGTGTCCCAACAGCTGAAAGTATGTCAAATCCCTATATTAATTTACTGTTTTCTTGTATGAGGGTTCTGGAAGCTGGGAGCCGGGCAGAGCCGAGACATTGCAAACGAGAGCTTTTGAGACAGCTCCCGGCCCCAAAAGCCCCCACTTTCGTTTCGATGTTTTACTATGCTAATTCGTTGTCAGACTCAAGCACCGACATCTACGACGACCTCGCCGCAATCCTCAACCGGGTCCACGAAGTCACAACCTCTGATCTCTACGCCACCTACCCCAACCCCTTCTACGACTACATCTCCTCCACCGCCGTATCAAACATCGCCAACAACGTCTCTGCTCAAGACCACCTCAGTCTCGTCGACGGCGGCGAAGCTTTGCAGAATAACCCCATTTTCCCATTCCTGCAGCCAGCGAGGAATATCTCCGTTATCCTCGTAAACGACAATTCAGCCGATACCTCGACGAATTACCCCAATGGTTCGGAAATCTTAACGACATACGTCCAATCTTTCAACCATAACTTAACACTAATGCCCTTCATCCCCTCAGTCGAAACTTTCATCTCAGAAGGCTTGAATACTCGCGCTACGTTCTTTGGATGCAATGATACGAGCAAGATTACGATAGTCTATCTACCGAATTATAATTTTACGTTTGATAGTGGGGTGTCGACGTCTCAGTTGGAGTATAGTGAGACAGAACAGGATGAGATGGTTACGAATGGGAATGCGATTGCGGAGCAAGGGGGAAAGGATGGTTGGGCGACGTGTTTGGGGTGTGCTATTATGATGAAGACCGGGGAGACGTTGGCGAGTGGATGTACGGCGTGTTTGGAGGAGTATTGTTATTATCAGTAGGGGTGGGGATCTAATGATAATGAAATGACGATATGTGAGATGAAAGTCTGGGACAAGTGGTGAGAGTGAGATGTGCGTCGATGTGCTAGACAAGCAGAATGGAGCATTCTTGGTTTCGTGAGTCCTCACTTTCTTGAGAAAGCATGGAGATAGCAACCTAACAGCGTAGCCAGACATAAAGCAAGATATAAATTCTCACAAACTCTAATGTTCTATCATCTCTCATCTAGCAACACGGAACTCTAAAGCTCGTCCTTCCCATCCCCTCCCTCCTCCTCCCCATCTCCAACAGCCTCATCGCCCACCCCCCAAACCCTCCTCCCACCAACCCACGTCTCCCAAACCACCACATCCCTCAACCCCCTCCCACTCCCATCCCCCTCCGCCAACAAATCCCTATCAACAACCACCCAATCCGCCCACCTCCCCACAGCGATACTCCCCATCTCCCCCTCCCGAAACCACCCATACGCCGCATTCCGCGTGAACCCCACCAACGCTTGCTCCACGCTCAGCGCCTCCTCCATATACCAGCCCTTTTCACCATCTGGACTACTTCCTGTGGCCGGATTCAAGCGAGTCACGGCTGCGTACATGCCGTGGAAGGGGTTTGGTGGTTCGACGGGGAAGTCGGAGCCGAGGACTGGGCCGGGATAGGATCCGGTTTTGGAATTTGGGGTGGAAAGGGGGAAGAGGGAGTGCATCCTGTAGGCGGAGTGGGAGAGCCGATTGGCGCCGAGACGGGAGAGGGCATAGGACATGTCTGATGTTGCGTGGGTTGGCTTTGTGGGTTATTAGTTTGGGTAGAGTGAGTGGTGAGGGTGGTTGGATGGGAGATTTACTTGGATGCTGGGGATTATACCCATTTTGGCAATGCGTTTTTGGTCTTCTGGATGCTGGGGATTTTTAGTGAGAGTATAAGGGCGGGGAAGAGGAGACGGACGATGATTTGAGCATGTTCGATTCGTAATCTTCGTGCTTCGTTACAACCTGTGCAGTCTTTTCCGAGGACGTTTTCGAAGGCGTCGACTGCGGCTCGGTTTGCTCGGTCTCCGATTGCGTGGACGTTGACTTGGAATCCTGCGTCGAACCACTGCTCTAGTAAGTATAGTACCTAGTTTTGTATATGGAGGGAAACCTCACCTTCTTGACTACACTCGTCAACTCCGTCTCATTAATCAACATCGTCCCACTCGTCTCGTCCTTATCCGAATACGGCTCCAGTAATGCCGCGCCCCAACTTCCCAATGCCCCATCAGCAAACAGTTTCACTCCTCCCAACATCAACATATGCTCCCCCAACCCATCCGGAGCAGCAAGTAATTTCAAACTCCCCGTCTCCTCCGGACAAAACGTATTCCTCTCCGCACACTCAAGCATAACGTTAACCCTAACACTCATCTCCCCCTTCTCCGCCATCCCCTCCAGAATCCTCACATCATCAGGTCTCATACCCGCGTCTCCAACCCCGATAATACCCACTTTATTCAGCTCCACCATCGCGGATTTGAACCATCTCGTCTTCTGCGCGACATCTGGTTTTGGTGCGAGCGGGAAGATGATACTATCCATCGCATTATCACAAAAGACTCCTGGACCTGGATCTGTGATGATGACTCCGCCTGGTGGAGCTTCTGGTAATGGGTCAGGGAGCAGATCAAGGACTTTTTGGGAAGTCAAGACGCAGTGGACGTCTACTCTATCGAGCATGATGTACAGATCCGAGAGCTCGGGATCGATTGCTAGTTCTTCCTAAGATATGGGTTAATATAGATTTCGGAAGAGATTTAGAGGGGAAAGTCACAGCAGTAGGCATCACGCCCCCAAAATACTTTTGATCCCACCCAATACCTCGAACCCACTTATCTCTCGTCCCATATCCCTCCCCTTCATGCCTGCTTAGGAATTCCCTAATCCGAACCCTCACCTCCTCCATACTCTTCGCGTCGTATAGGGAAACGGATTCGAGCATCTCGCCATATTGCAGGATATGGCCGTGCGATTCGATGATACCCGGTATGATATAGCCGGGCAGATAAGTGATGTCTTTCTCGTTAGGGATCGAGGTCAGTATTTCTGTGAAGACGCCGTTTTGTACACGGATGCATTTTGCGTGGGGGAGGGAGGTGTTGAGGGTCGTGATGTGGGACGAGGGGGAGACGCAGTAGAGAGTGGGGGCTGTGGCGAGTGCCGAGGTGATGATTAGAGCCAGGAAGACGGAGAGTTTAGGAAGATTTCGTGGCTGGAGCATCATGAGGTGTGTTAGCTTTAGGAGGATGAGTGAGAAGTGAGAAGTGATAGTACTTCGTTTGTTTGATTTGTGGTTCTGCAGCTGTTAGCGATAACGGCCCCTGAGTCACGTGGGTGATACCGATTGAACGGGGAGCATTGTGTTGATTTGTACCTGTGTTACGCAAGTTGGAAGTTGGATACAAAGTATCTAGACGCTATTTCGAATAGCCCTGCTCAGTGCCTAAGTATCTGTATCGCAGGTTGTCATGAGCTCGAGTGAAATTCCCCCTTTCTGAATTTCGCTTAACCAGCTAGCAAGAAGTCATTGATATCACGGTTTTGAAAAAGAAGTATGGATTCTTGTTTTCAGGACCGACAATTTAAGCTTGATATGTTAGAATATAGAGTCAGAAATTGGGATTCCTATTCTTAGGACCGACAATTTGGGCGTATTATGTGTTAAGAAACAAAGTCGGACATTAAGACTCTCGTTCCCAAGTTTAATATTTTGGAGTTATTATGTCAGAAAACAAAGTCAGACATTAGGATCCTTGTTCTTGGGACCGACAACCTGGGCTTAATAAGTGTGTTGAAACACAGAGTCAGACACTAGACTCCTGTCCTTAGGACCGACAATTTCGGCTTGATATGTTAGGAAACAAAGTCGGACATTGAAATGATGCTATTAAGTTTGCCCTCTTTCAGTGCAATACAGCCTATGTCTGTTTTCGACAGAGGTCAAAATACGTATATATATATGTTCCCTATCCTTTAATTACAATGAGTCCAAATATGAGCCACGATGGATCACAAAACACACAAACATCTCCTTCTCACAACCCTGCACCACCACAAAGCCCCCCCTTCCACCCACCAAACATTCTCGACGACGACCCCCATTTCCTGCCCGAACTCATAACCGCAACTAAGCACTTTCCCTCCCAACCAATCATCCAACCAAAGACTTCTTAGTGCAGTGGTAGCATACCTATCTCCAATGTGGAAAATGGGTGACTTGAGTTCAAATCTCAAAGATGTTAATGTTTGAGCATGGTAGGGTGTAAGACAGGTCTCTGTTGGCGGTAACAAGTTCTTGTGTATGCTGTACATGGGGATTCATCTAGGTTCGACTCCTAGAGAGGCTAATTAGCTGGTACCGGTGCTGTTACTCTATACAGCACCGGTACCAGCTACACTTTTTTTTACTGTTAACTTATTTTTGGAGCTTCTGTCTTTCAGTAAAGCAATTGGTCATAGGTCACTGTATTTGTTTAGGGGGTTTATATTGCATCAAAGTAGTCGTTTACTGATTAGTGATACAACATTTATTTTGCTTTGCATTAGCTATAGCGTACAGATCAGCAATGTGAATCTATCTTGTAAACCGCCAATTCTCGTCAACTTGTTCTCTCCGCAGTATGGTTCCTCAAGCTCTCACTTCCTCACCACAAAAATCACCCCATGAATTTTACTTGCCCACCACCCTCTCCTTGACAATCCTCCTCAACCGATCCAACCCAAACATCCCCGGCACGACCAAATCAAAAACCCAACCCCCAAGAAAATTCCACACCCACCAAACGAGCCCACTCTTATTCCCCCTCCAAACCTGCTTCTTCGTTCTTCCCTTCAACGCCTCCCTCACGACCCCCCTGGCATAAACCTCCGCCGGCATCGCCCCCTCCTGACTATGCTTCACGCGCCTCTGAAAACTATCCTCAATATCCACATACAGACTCCCCTCCGGCAACACCCTCTCCGTCCTTGCAATGCGACTCTTGACTCCCCCCGTGACCACGACCAGGACCCTGACATCGAACGGTTCTAGCTCTAATCTCAGCGTATTCGAGAACGCGTGCAGCGCTGCTTTGGAAGCGTTGTACACGGAGCCAAAAACATATGGTACGATGGCGGCTATGGATCCGATGTTTAGGATTAGGCCTTTGGAGGCGATGAGGAGGGGAGTGAAAGTTTGCGTTAGCTGGATTATGGAGAAGAGGTTTGTTTCGAAACAGGCGCGTGCGTCGGTGACGTCTACGTCTAGGGCGGGCATCGTGCAGTTACGTCCTCTGTTCATTTCTATCAGAGGTTTGATCGAGAAGGAGGTGGAAAGGAGGGAGGGAGTACGCATTGTTGACTAGAATATCTAGTCCTCCGCCTGTCAGTTTCTCAACGGCCATTTTCGCTTCGAGGGTACTGGCTTTGCTCGTGACGTCCAGGCTTAGGATTGTCATCCCGAGATCCTCGAGGTCTTTTAACACGACTTTGTCTCGGGCTGTGGCTATGACGTGTAGTCCTGTGTTCAAATTTTAGAAACGTTTCTTTTTGGAAGAGGTGACTGACCTTTTGAGTGGAATTCGAGGGCTAGAGCATGGCCAATGCCGCCTGGTGAGCATCTTGGGACAGAGTCAGCAATTTGTTCGTGGGGTATCGAGTTAGATTGAATTTCACCCTGTAATTAGAACGCTCTTTTTCGTGAGTTCTGTCATATTGCTAGTTCCAATGCGAAGTTACTCCGTGGATGAGATCAAGAAGATGTTTGTAGGAAGTAAGAGAAGGGTCGTCGTTGTGGTTGGATATGTCTCAGGCTGTGCCGAGGTATAGCCTTATCGGCGTCAATAATCCAACCCTAGCTCTCAGTCGGGGAAATAAGGTGCCGATTTGGCGAAGTGAACTAAGTTTGGGGAATTTGCAATATTTCTAACACAAAATCTGATAAACAATATAAGAATTTTACATCATATAAGCTATTGAGTATTTTTCAAGATATCTAGAAGACAATTTAAACTTCAGATCGTGGTGCGCTGAGAAATACCTTCTGCAGCACTTTGAATTTTGGTGTTCTCGCCTAGCAGCTTAATTCCCCGACTGAGCGCCTAGCTCCAGGACCCTGGAAAGGAGGTGGCGTTCGGATTCTTGTCACTTCATCTCGAGACATCACAGCAGAAATTGGAATGTAAGGAGAGGACGAATTATTATTTCTTGACAAGGATCGTACTCAGCTACAGCAATTACTTTCATCTGTCATGATTGTTCAACCCAGCTTTTACGAGTCCTCATAATTCAAGTATGCCCTTAGAGGCATTCATTCCATCATATCTGAACATAGGAAAGAATTTGGTAGCAAAAAATGGACATGTGAGTATGTCTTATAAGCAATTGACAGCAAGTTTAGAAGCGAAATGTGTTGTGTGTGATAAGATCAATGTTCACCAAAGCCATCTTCGGCCTCCTCGGTCGTGTCGAGTGCCTCCCAACTTGTGGTCATGGTGTTGACGTTCGGACTCGTGCTCGTTATGCTTGTCATGCTCGTGTGCAGAACCTCCATAAGGATTCAACGTTGGTTTGGGATAAACGACTGGAGCTGAAGTGCTTGAACTGAGGCCAGGATCAACAGACGTCTCAGTTCCCGAATTCAGAGAGCTGCTGACGAAGCTCGATGATGGCGGGGGGTTGTAGTAACCTGGAGTGGGAGTGCTTGAACTTGGTCCAGATGTGATCGATGTCTCCGTTCCAGAGTCCAGGGTGCTCGCTAGGATACTCGGCGTAGATGGTAGAGAGTAGCTGGCAGAGAGGTTTCCAATCGAGCTTGTCGACGTAGCGAAAGTTGAAGGGACGGAAGACACGCTTGACAAGCTACTTGACGATGCTACACGATGTCAGTCAGTGTTACTTTGAATGCACTATGCCGGCCTTACCTTGGGTGGTCGATGAGACAGTGTAATGCTCTTCAGTGCATGTGTCCAGAGGCACGGATGATGAAGTCGATGAATATGTTGCTGGTCCAGTAATGCCCTGGGTCGATGCAGACGAGCTTGGATATGCACTGCTCGTGATGGAAGGTACACTTGTTGAGTTGGATGAGAGAGTGTAACTTGCCGACGATGATGGCGAAACCGCGATTCCAATTGCAGAACTTGTGGAACTTCCTGTGCTGGTGGGATAATACACAGACGTCGTGTTGGAAGTACCATATGGAGCGGAAGATGAAGAGCTCAACGAGACACTACCATACGTGGGAAGTGACGCAGAGCTGATGGTTCCTGTGGGGCCATAGAGCGACGTCGTATTCGAAGGGATACCGTACGGTGCTGAGGAAGTGAGCGAAATTGCAATACCAATTGCAGAACTTGTGGAAGATCCATAACTCCCCGTGCCGGTCGGATAAATCACCGATGTCGTATTGAAAGGGATACTGTAAGGAGCAGAAGAAGACGAGCTGATTGGCACGCTACTATAGACAGGTAGACTGCTATAGATGGGAACTGAAGCAGACCCTGTCGATCCAATACTTGTTGTTGTGTTTGATGGTGTTGCATACGGAGCCGACGACGACGGTGATGCCACAGTTCCAATAGCCGAGCTTGTCGAAGATCCATAGCTTCCTGTGCCTGTGGCACCCACTGCCGATGATGAGTTTGACGGTACTGAGTATGGTAGTAGGATGATACTGGAAGTACTCGAGGACACTACACTGCCTGTGCCCGTAGGTCCAGAAAGAGTGGCATTCCCGTAAGTAGGATATGGGGCACTCGTTGAAGAGGGAATGGAGACGCTTGTCCATGTCCCAATCGCAGAAAATGAGGAAACGCCACTCCCTGAAGGTAAGAAGGTTGAGGTCTGGTTGTAGGTTGGATATGGGGCCGACGAAGATCCGATAACTGAAGTGGGGCCATGGGAGACGGTGAACGACTGCACGCCTGTACTCAAAGGGCTGACACTCGAATAGACCGGCAAACTACCTGGGGCAGTAGGACCTGCAGAAGTGCTCTGATTGCTCTGTTGGTATGGAGCTGTCGATGGTACGCTTGATGGTAAGGTTGTGCCTCCTGATGCAGGTACACTCGTGATAGGTCCAATAGGAGTGTAGCTCAGAGCACTACCGGTACCAGTAGGGCTGCTGTTTGTCGAATTGGATATCGGATACGGTCCATATGTCGAAGGGAGAGAGACACTACCACCCGACACTCCCGAGAAATATGGCAGAATGGTCGTGTATGATGTAAATGTTGACAGAGGTGCTGTTGGTCCTGATGTGGAAGAGTTATACCCTGGCGAAGTAGCAAATGTTCCAATCGCTGAGCTTGATCCCGATACTCCTGTGGGTGTGGTGTATGAAAGTACACCAGTTCCAGTCGATAAAACTACGCTCGATGCATTTGATGTGGGATATGGTGCAGAGTTCGATGAGATCGAGTAAGGAGGCGTGGGCAACGTGACTGAATAGACAAAGCTGAAAGTTGAAGTGGGTGGAGAACTTCCAGATATCGATACACCGCCGGAGACCGTTGACGAGCTACCTGTTCCAGTTGGAAGAATGACACTTGACGTGTTGGTCAGTGCATATGGGGCTGAGCTCGACTGAGCGACACTCGAATATGGAACAGATCCATATGACACACTGCTCACAGAGGGATACGATGAAGATCCGCCAGAGACTGTGGAGGAAGTTGGAGTCGATGAGGCTAAACCTCCTCCGGAAACGGAAGAGCTTGGCAAAACACCTGTACTACTTGGGAGACTGGTATAATTTGAGAATGTATATATCGGCCTCGAGCTAGCGTACGAGATTGTCGGGAAGCCGCTTGGGGAAGAAGAGCTTGTAAGGACAGAGTATCCACTAGATGGTGTTCCGGACGAGTATATCGAGATTCCTGTGGAGATGCCAGAAGAGTATGCTGAAGCTCCGGTTCCTGTGGGACCGTACGAAGAAGTCGAGTTGGAGAAAGGGTAGATCGGAGAAGATGTTGGCAACGTGATGGAGGAACTTGACGTGAGAGAAAGATAAGTGCCAATAGCTGACGATGACGACGCTCCTGTGGCAATTATCGTACTCGAGTTTCCAGATGGTGAGGACGAGCTCGAAACGGCGGGAAATGAGTAGCTGGGGAGAGATGGTGTAGTTTGGACGGTTACTGAGTATCCGCTTCCTGTAAGTCCAATTGCAGAACTTGTCGAATTCAATGTTGGATAAATGGGGACGGAGGAGTACACCTGACTGACACTGGATGAAGATGATGACTCTGGAATGACTGACGACAACGAAGACAAGGTGCCACTGCTTTGAGGGGCCGAGAATGTGGTGTTAGGATACAAGACAGAGGAACTCGACGGGAAGGATACAATACCCGAGGATCCTGTGCCGTATGGGATTGAGGTAGTGACAGTGTAGCCAGAAGTTGTCAGAGCGGCCGAAGAAAGTGTGCCTTCGATGGTGCTGGTCAAAGTATCGACTTGTGTGGAGGAAGATTGTCCTAATATACCAGATGAGCCTTGAGAACTCGCAGGAGAAGTACTTGACAGGATGGTGTAACTCGGAAGTGATTGAGTGGATGATGCGATGCTGCTCTCAACCGGCAGTGATGAGGCCCCAGATTGGCCAATTGACGATAATGTCTGCGAGCTTGTGACAGGTGATGAGATGCTAGAACTGGAGAGTGGAAGACTACTTTGAGCTGGGAATGAAGTCTCACTTCCACCGGCAGTCGACGAAGTCGGTACGCTCCCAGTAGATGATGAGATCCCAGAGCTAGGCACGACCGATGAGGCTGGCAATGAGGTTGACTGAGCTGGGCTAGTCACTAGGCACGAGCAGGCTGATGAAATTGCAGATGGAGAATCTGAGCATTTGGAGACATATGCAGGTAGTCCTGTGGTCACGGTGTTGACAGTCGTGGTATATGTTGCACAGAAGTCTCCTGCCACGGCTGAAGATTTGATCATTTGTCGAAGACAGTTGTTGTGATTACACTTCAATGATAAGATGGTGCTTGTTGCCTCTAGCGAGGATGTTGTTGAGCCGTATATCGGAGGCCCTGTCACAGTAACCAAGGTGATTGATGAAGAGACTAAGCTCGACGTCAAAGAGGTTTCAGACGATGCGGGCAAAGATGGTACACTGGACGGTGGACTGCTCTGGATGGACGTGAACGTGCCAATAGCTGAGATGGTTGATTGTCCATTGGTAGAATACTGGCCCGGATCATAGCTTGAAGGCAGACTCGACGTGGAGGGAACAGACGAAGTCTCCGAGTTGGAGGGAAGGCTCGTGTATGGCGTTGGAGTAACAGTCCCCTCGACCTCTGATGTGCTTACAGTGATTGAAGACTCAGGGATCGGCGAGACCGTGAGAGACTCTGTGATGACGACGATGGACCCGGTCTCCTGAGTTGTGGAGCTCGTGACTTCTGTAGGAGCAGAAATAGAGACTGAAGTATAGAGGATTGGAGTGGTTCCACTCGAGTATACAGGAGTAGCTGGAGATGATGCAGGGCTAATGACTGAACAACTCGTCAGGACTTCACATGAAAAGGAGTAGACAGCAACTTACCAGTGGAGGGTGCCGAAGAAACTGAAGTCTCTTCCCCAGAATTGGACGCAGTTGACGTGCTTGATGGAATTGGACTGGGAAGGGTGGGAGCAGGGCCATATCCGAACCAAGAGTAACCTCCATATGTGATTGGTGGCGGATCGTAGACGCTGTAGACGCTGTTCTGACGAGGTGCCAGGTCTGAATCACCATCACGCTTCAATTGAAGCCATTTCGGAAGAGCATGTGCACCAGGGAGTAAGACGAGGAGGCATGCAGTTGACACGAGGCCAGTATTGAGAGTGTTAACTCTCATGTTGAATCTGGAGGAAAGATTACATGTCAGAATCTTCTTTACCAAGGTGAGGATATACTGAATCATAAGAATGAAATGTACTTACGGCTTCACTGTCACTGTTGACCAAGGGTTCAAGAGATATCAACAAACGAATGTGAAGGTTGCAATCCTGATAACGACTGAAAGAAGAAACTGTGGTTAGTACCAGACTTCTCACGCAGGTTGGAGACGCCCGATCTCAATCAAAGAGTGATCGAAGAAGTTTGTTGAAAGAAACGAACGTGGAGATGGGACGAGAAGTTATATGAAATTGGGACGAAAAGGCAGGTAGGTAGGCAGATACGTGACAAGAAGTCACTAACTCGGAATGTGGTTCCGAGCTCTCCCGCTTAAACTCGAAAGGGGAGGAACTTCTTCTCGTCTCCTCCGCCAATCTCCCCAGATCTGTCCAGAAACGAGCCAGTGGAAAGCACCATTCCTCGCCTGATTTCGTCATCGAAGTGATGCTCGTTTCATCGTTGCGGTACAGGGCAAGTACCCGAGCCGTTTGTACTCGAAAATGGCAGGAACGAGGACATTTCCCCTCAAACAGGACGTCGAGCGCAGAGGCCAGAATCGAGGCGATCCTGAAGAGATTTGTCCTAGATTGAAGCAAGTGCTGTGTCTTTCCTGGTCGAATTTCCAGACTTCTGTTGGTGTGGTACAACGTGCCAGGGGAGAAAGGATACGAGCATGGTGCCAATATTGACGAGACCAGGTCGATGCCAGCAATGATGCAGCTTTCCATCAGTCTTCGGCACCTTTCGTCTGTTCCTGCATTAACTTGTAGCTCCTGTGAAAATGCTGATGACTGTTCTGGAAACGCGAGCAACAAGCCACCGCGTTGTTTTTCAATTCTGTTTACAGTCTGTTGCAAGAATCATGACTTTCCAAGTTACTCTCGTGTTACTCGCGAGCTGCCTTTGTGCATGACAGCCGTGACACAGCTCTCGTGCTTCACGGCTGCAAACACACCGTTTACTTCGGATGGCGGCCGGTCCTCAACAAGTTTTGTTTGTAGACGTCTATCTTTAATTGGTTGATTCAGAGACATATGGGTGCAGAACGGATGGGAAAGGGGTGATCGGCAGCTGGAGAGAGGCCGAATCTGCAGTTCAACATAGGACTTCACTCTGTTGAGCTTTTCACGACCGGCAAGCTTTGAAGCCCTTCTATGCTAATGCAGGGGCATCATGTTGTAGCTTATGAGATCTCACCGTTGATGCAGTGCATGCATTATCTGGGATTTGTGATCCGATAATCTGCCAGATCATGCCAACTTCATTACACCAAGACGCCTTGATCACATTCAACATCAGGTCTTGAGATAGGTTTGGGGAGCAGTATCATGTTATGGAATTATAATGCGCCAATGCCTCAGCCATGTGCTATCTCTCTAAACGCCATGCTTGCGAAAACTTCAGACAACAAACAAAAGGTACGAGAAACTCATTTTTGGGGGAAGTGACGATCTGGTGTGGCTGTCCGACGACTCTGTTACACAAGAGCTCAAAGCGAGGCCAATGCAGGGTTGCGATCGGACGTGGGTTCACACGTCGAGTCTAACATCGGGAGGCTGCATATCTGCTCATTCATCCTTCTTAGCTTCACCACGGGATCGTGGATCAGACATCTCTGTCATTTGGGTGTTGTTGCTTTCTATGTCGGCAGCCCAGAGAGCGGCTCCAACTGGAAGTGGGTTAATAAGAGGGTAAAGTTGCGGTGAGAGGTTACAGTACCTGTGTTGGTGAAGGAGAAGAGGATTGAGGCGAAAGGGATGAGCTCAAGAAGGGTAGCGACGGTACCAAATCTATTTTTAGTCAGTCAAGACCCTGGCTGGCAAACAATGTAATTGTGGCGCTCGCTCAAATCGGACTCGAAAGCCACATCATTCAGCAGTCTGGGTTCAGGGGTACGAAATCTCCGACCAGCCTCTGAATAATGCCACCGGCGTTGCGCCACCGCCTTTAGAGAGTTCCGAATATATTGTGGAACGAGCTGAAGAAAGAAACGTCAAACGTACGCTGTGTAAGGAGCCGTGTTCTCCTTTAGCCAATCTTCTCTCTCAGAATTTGTCCACTTCTTGAGTTGGAAATACTAAGCGGATATCAGCGGTGTGAGGTGAAAATTTAGTCCAGGTAACTTACCCGCGCATGCACTGACCGACCTCTCGTTCGTCCTTGCAAAAGCACGAAGATAACAGTTCCAACCACAGGAATAAAGTTTAGAGGAAGATACATGACGTATCTAACCACAGCCGTCGGTGTGAACTTCTCAAACGGCGACTTGATCAGCTTCCCCAACTTGGCAATCGGATCATTGAAGTTCCCAGATTTCAATTGACGTCCTTCAGCGAGAACACCGGTCTGTCTTCTCGCTACCAAGACTCCATCAAATATATCAACCAGAGCATCTTGTAGCAAGAAAGTTCGAGAAATTAGGTTGATTAACGTAGAGCTTTCACTGAGCGTGAGAAGGATCGTGGTGAATGCAGCCAGAGGACCATTGACGAAGACGAGCACTGCAAGTTGTGGCAGATATGCGAAGACAAACATGAAGCCGATGACACCAAGTGACAAACTCATGGTTGGGACCAACTTTGAAAGGAGGGGCTTCCATAGGGAGCGATGACTGAGGAAGTAGAAAATGCCCTGATCTTCTGTTAGCTATAGAAGAGCAGTTCATGCGAATGATATCCTACCTTGATAGGATACAAGTAAGCACCGGATTTCGCAGCAGATGTCGCCATGTCTCTGGCTTTATTGAAGTCCTCCTTCCTGTATCTTGAAGTCAACATTTGTACAACCAAGGGCATCTCAGAATTCTACTGACGCTACTTCTGTAGCCTTAGCTCTGACATTGTCGATCGTGCTTGAAGAAGACATCCTGAGTACTGATTCGAATTATCAGTCTCTTATGTTTGAAAGTATGAGTTGAAAAGAAATATTTTCCTGCAGGTTGGTTCTCTGTATTTATTTCTTTGCTGGTTACTATTTCAGTGACGTCGTTGTGGCTTGGCTTTTCTAGCGCCACAACCCCACAATTTCAGGGGTACGTGAATCAACCAAGAGCGGGAATGTCCTTACTTTCAATGTCAGCACTCACTTACAATCATATTTTGGTCGGAACGATTGAGAATCATCGAAGAGGATCTATTTCTTATGACCACCATCTATCTACTCTCAACTATGCAATGCAAATCCAGGATGTTATCTATTCCATCATGCACATGCAGCAGGGAACCTGTCCGGATCTAGACTTTTCATGAAAACGCCAATGTCGAAGCACCGAGCCGCAAAAGCGCTAAAACGAGGAGAAAAACTCATAGACGATCCAATAGACCTTGGCTCTCCAACATCAGGACGATCTGGTGAACAGCGCTTCTAACAGTCGTGGTCTCGAGATCAACGGTGAGATCTGCTTTCTTTGGGATCTCATATGGGTCATCAACGCCAGTGAACCCCTTGATCTCTCCATTTCTGGCCTTCTTGTAGATGCCTCGCTTATCGGTCTTCTCGGCGTGCTCAAGCGAGGTGGCGACGTGGACGAGATAGAAATCTCCATACTTCTCAACCAATTCCCTAGCGTGGTGTCTGGCATCCTCATATGGTGCAATGGGAGCAGCAATGACAGCTGCGCGGGCGCGAGTGAGCTCAGATGCAACAAAGGCAATTCTACCAATGTTGCGAGTTCGGTCGGCTCGGCTGAAGCCAAGTTCGGAAGAAAGCTCAGCACGAACAGTCTCACCGAGGAGAAGAGACACTGAACGTCCACCTTGTTGGTTGAGTGTGACATGGAGAGCACGAGCCACAGCGTCCTTTCCACTGTTCTGGTATCCTGTCAAGAAGACTGTGAAACCTTGATCTGATCGAGGTGGGTGGGACTCTCGCAGAACTTTCACAACTTCGGGGTACGAGAACCATTCTGGAATCTCCCGACCAGTTCGCAGACGGCTTCGAAGTTCTGTGCCAGAGATATCGAGAGTGCGGACACCGGCTGGAACTTCATCCTTTGGTCGGTATTCATCGCTGTCTGGGAGGTAAGTCATCATCTGGAAGGGAACGACCTCGATGCCAAGCTCGTCTCTGTATTTCTCAACGGCATATTGAGCATCGTATGGACCATAGAACTCCTCGCCCTTGCTATTCTTTCCTGGGCCAGCGTGATCACGACCAACAATGAAGTGAGTCGCTCCAAAGTTCTTTCGGATGATTGCGTGCCAGATTGCTTCGCGAGGACCACCCATACGCATAGCTAATGGGAGAAGACCAAGGACTGCCATGCCATTGGGATATCTTGGAAGGAGTGCTTGGTAGACACGGACGCGAGTGAAGTGATCGATATCTCCAGGTTTTGTAAGACCGACAACTGGATGGATGAGAACATTGGCTTGGCGAGCACGAGCAGCTCGAACGGTCAACTCTCGGTGGGCGCGATGCATGGGATTTCGGGTTTGGAAAGCGACAACCTTTGACCAACCGAGTTTGTCAAAGTGAAGGCGGAGCTCTGCAGGAGTGTCTGGTGAATGAATCAGTACTTGAGACTGAAATCAATAGAAGATATCTCACATCTGAGTGCAACATAGTCATAATGCTCAAGGCGATTGATAGCGTCAAGCTTTCCTCCAACATAGAAGTCCCGAGCTGTATGGAACAGGTACTTCACTGCTGGATGTTCGTCATCACCTCCAAAGACCTTTTGTGCTTCGATCTTCCTGCAAATTGTGAGCTTTGTCCTGTAACTGCTGGAAGTGAGGCATACTTGTCTGGTTGGTAAACATCCTCAATATTGATGATGGCCAGATTGCGGTCATCACGAAAGTCACGAAGAGTAATTCTTGCTCCTGGCTTAATTGCTATTTCCTCAATCTGCTCTTGTGACACATCAAGTGTGATTGGCATGGAGAAGAGGTTGCCATCGGCTAATCGGTTGTTCTCAACGACGCTGAAGGGTGTTATTCATGGCTCTGGCTTGCAAATGTGCTAGGTGTGCATACCCATTGTAGTCCTTCTCGTTCATAAAGCCTGCAGATAAAATATTAGTGTATGTTTTGGCTGCAGAGTCCCCTTGGGATATCTTTGGCGGGGTATATTTGCCCCGCCATGAACGTACCTTCCAGTGGAGAAAATCCTCCGGAAAGAAGCAATTCAAGATCGCATAGCTGCCTCTCTGTCAGGACGATAGCTGGTAATGTCTCTGCCTCAGCTTCTAGCTTGTCGTGTCTTGGTAAGTCGCGTGCTAGGAGATCTCTATACGCGCATCAGCGGCCGGGTAAGTAACACGACAGGAATCTGCTGTTACTGACTTGAGTTCTCCACCATGAGGAGGATTTGCCATTGTGATAAATTGTAGACGAGAGAGAATAAGATCGATTGGTTTGTTCAAAGAAAAGAACGAAGCAAAAAGTTTGGATCGTCAATTAAAGAAAACAGTTCTCAATTTTTTTCTTTGCGGCGATATCGATGGCGCCTTTTTCCCGGCCCGACCATCGCGCACGTCATCTCACGAGGCTTGGAGCCCCAGAGATCTCTTTATCCACACTTTTGTCGTACCCCTTGCATAAGCTGCGTGCGCCGCTTCATCAGCAGCAATTTCTTTGAAATACAGCACAGATTGTGATGATGAATCTGAGGCTGTCAGATCTGCGACGGACGTATCAAAGAAGGGTCCACTGCAACGTCTCGGAAAAAGAAAGGTGCAGATCTCGTGGAAAGCCACTCCTTTAATCTCAGGGGCACAGAAAGGCGTGCCTTGAATTCGATGCATACCTTCAACAACAACTGCCGCACCTTGATGGCAAGCAAAACAAAATATGGTCTGTTGAAGTCAACAGCATACATTCAGCTAAGGAGGTTCTCCCTTGTCAAAGCATTAGGAACAAAAGTATTTTCCTTTGTTGTCTGGTCTCTCACGTGCTTGAAGCTATGCTATTTGGAAGTTCCTTATCTTATCACGGAGACGGATTTTTTGAAATCCGGGCTAATGAGCTAAGAATGCCGCTACCTCAATTTCTTGAACTTCGTTTTGACTTCAAGTCATCTGCAAAACCAGCCAGCAACTTGCAAGAATGTCTGTTGTGTCAGGAGTGAAGGGAGAGACGGCTGCTCAGGCGAGGTCCTTGGTGAGTTCCTTTTCAAGCTGTGCACTTTCCTGCTTCCTCGCCACCTGTGTCATGTAGATCAAAAGAGTTGGAAATGTTGATATTGGATCTTTCCTTGATGAAGCGGTTTGCTAATACTCCTTCGCATAGTACCGTCAATTATTACGGCAGAGCGACCAGTTCGCAGCCTACAATTTCAGAGAATATGCGAAACGAAGGACGAGAGATGCATTCAGAGAACATAAGGATGTGCAAGACGAGAGACAAATTCAAGAGTTGATGCAGAAGGGTCTGAAGGAATTACAGTCAATGAAGGTGTGTGGCACCCTCTCGATACATGCTATGGGGCTCTGAAGGGTTGTCGCGTTGTTGTGCGGACATAAGGCTCGGAAAATTCGGTCTTCTGGCTGGAAAAACGCTCTCGGAAAATTGCTGACCAGGTACAGAGACAAACAGTCGTCAGCCAATTCTTCCAATTGGATCGATTAGTTGTGGAAGGTGGAAAGACGGTATGTTTCTGCCCGATTACCTCGAAAGCTGCGAAGCAGTACCAAGGAAAATGCTCATATTACCATAGGGAAAACAAGGAGGACGAAGAAATGATATCGTGAGGCAGAAGGAAACGGGGTATGCTCTCCAAAATTACAGAGAGGCCACAGTCAACTAACATAAACAGATGGGACTGATCGGTCGAAACTTGGCATCTCTGGGAAAGGAATGCTTCACGACGTTACGTTAGACTTGGGACGATGGCAACCATCATCTTGTACAACAAATGTATATCCAATAATTTCAAGGAGACAAAGTCCATAGGTTGGTGCCGGAAAGCAGTTGAGGCACTGGGCCTAGAAGTAATAAAGCTTCGAAGCATGTATGGCTAAAAAGAATGCATCTCCACAATTCCCTGACTGATGAGATGACTTTCTGCGAGCGCAAGGTGCCTGCTCATTTCAACCATGATCTTGATCAACACATCTTCAAGACTTTCGAAGATCCTACATCAGACAGACTGTTTGTTAGGAATGACCGCATTTCCTAATTGCCTGAAGCTATCTTATGATCGTACTGAAATGCTTGAACTCGTGAAATTAGAGTCTTCTTTGTTCCATTGATGTATAATTTGTCATAAGACTTCGACAACTGCATAAGCGCCGACATAGAGTGTGACACGTGAAGACTGTATTGATTGTTGACTGAGAAAGTACTTTTGAATGCTAACTTTTGAGTTTTCCTGTCTCTAGATATAACTATTCTGAGAGTTGACACGTGCTGTAGCCAAAATTCATTTCCCATTAGTCATCCTACAGTAGTGTGAAACTCGGATCGTTGAAGCACTTTGGAAAGGAGTAACTGCGTTTATATCTTTTAACGTCATGTCATTGTGGCTTGAAGCATATCATGGATTCACCAGGTACGGCGAAGATATAAACACTTCACCACGATACAAGGCCACAATCAATGCCCTTATTCCTTCGAGACTATTCACCAATTGCCTTCCCATTTCATGCCAACGTGCGAGGGGGATGCGTCCAAATGCAAAGACACGCCCACCTTCTTGATCCCTTTGAGCAGTCTTGCGCGCTCGTCCTTGTCCGCTGGGGAAGAATAGGAGAGATGAAGTTCTTTAAGGGCAGGAAATTGAGTATCCTTCTTGGCTTGAAAGTGACGAAACATACGTTCGAGAGCGTTCTCATGTTCTTCGGTTTTGCCAGCCAATAACGATAGGTGAGAGACTGAAATAGGTATCAGGTCGCTAACGAAAGAGCCAAAATAGTCCAGTTGGCGATCTGCTATATACCCAACCCGAGCTTCACATGCAGCGGCATAAACGTTACACATGACAAGCTCGAAAGGCAATTGGAGCCTCTGCAAACACCGAAAGTCGTGCATTGATGCTTTACCAGGGATGATTTTGCCGCGTACTTCCCAAATAGACACAGAAAGCTCAATGAGGTGATCCCCGGCCTCACGGCCAATCGCGGTAACAAATTTGCAGATATTCCAGTCCCGGGAGTCGGCTTTGAAATGCGAATATTTGAGTGTTTTGAGACGCGGAGTGTGTTTGAGGAAGTCTGCAATAGCTAAGTCGTCGATGCAGCACTGTAAGAGATGAGCAGTTTCAAGGGTCTCACCCAAGAAACGATATGGAATTGTCGATGTTGTGCCCATGTGACCCTGACCTAGGACTTCGCAGCTGCGGCCGCGGAAGGACCGCATGGAAGGCAGAGCCAGGAAAGGATTCGACCCGCGCCAACCTGCTCCCCGGAGTCCAAATTTGAAAAGTGACTCAAATCTGGTAACCTGGGCAAGGTTAGGTCTGTTGAAAGAGACATGCAATTGCTTGGTCTCTTGAACAACAGCATCGATCAGTTTGTTGGTTGTATCTACCGGCCTCCACAATCTTGGAAGCGACAGAGTCTTGGCATTAGGCAGCAGCATGCTGTGAGTAGTAGGAGTAAATGTAGTCGGAGAGTCCGGCGGGTTTTTGAAGCTCCTCTTCGATTGAGGCATAGTACTCCTTCCAGTCTAGACCTGCTTGTTTCAGATATGGAGAACTGGCAAACAGGTTGACTACAGGCCCGCCACCATGGATATCTGGCAGATGCTGAGGGGCGAATCTAGCACGATGGGGGAAGCTGTCATGCTTGAGCTCTGCCGTTCTGATGTAACGCGCTGCCATAGGCTCAAACGCGATGCAAGTGATGAGATCTAACGCTGTTCTGATGTCAAAAGAATCACGAGGTATTTCCATGTAACGAAACTTTTGGAACCGCAAACGGAATTTGTGATGGCGCTCGATGAATGGTGTGCTTAGCTTGTAGATCGACTTGCAGCTCAAGGCCAGGGCCTCGAAACCCTCTGGCAAGACAAGTCCGATGATGTCGTCGAAAATCTCGTTGGGCAAATGAGCGAGTGCCATAGTCGTTGCAGCGATGATGATTTCGGCGGTGGTGAAGGTCGTGGCGACCAAGTACTTGTAAGTCGGGTCGGGTTGTGTTTGAAAGTTGTAGGCAAAGATGCATGTGCAAAGAGAAGAGGCAAGTCAACCGCTCGCTTATTTAATGCAGACTACCTAGGTAACAACGCTGTCCTGGGCTTTTGTTCCTTGGTGTTATCCTATGCTAAAGGCGCGGGTAGCGGTCTTCATTCGGGTCAGAGCCCTAAATTGTTGCTGACGTTTATGCCTCGAACCGAGTTTAATACCATATATCAACAAGTCAAATCGAAGATCCCTGGAGATCTATTCACTCTTTTCAACACTTTAGCGCTCTGGAAGGGTTTGACCTCGAGGCAATCTGTGGTGTCATTGACGACCCCACATCTATCATCGACAACCTCAAAACAACTTCACAGATGCTTCGTCGAGGACCGCGGGCTATCACAGCTTGAAGAAGCGTTCTTGCGTGCGTATACTAAATATCCTCTGATCTGTTGTCTAGCTCTGCAAATCTGAAAGGATCTGAAGGCTGCTGAAAATCTCCAAGAAGAAACACATATCGATAGTCTGATTAGGTCTCCACAACAAAGGATCAAGGGGTATACTATACGCTAAAACTGGTTTTCTTTCCCTGTTATCCTTATTTCTTTTAGCCTCCGAAAGCAAATACAAAACTTTCTTTTGAATCTTCAGAAGTGAAAGACTCACATGAAAAGTAAGCTTCAATAATCCAGTAATCTACAACTCCAGTAATGGGGACCAAGACGAAAGTTGATCACTCAACTCAACTTCTTCTGTCCCAATCTCACGCCCTTTGGAGAGTCAAGCAGCTCACAAACAGAGTCTAAGTAGAGGGTAATGCTCATGGAGTAATGATGGCTAGCTTGGCCTACATTGCAATATCACAATCTGGCGGAGGAACTGCTTGATATTTCATGCTTATCATGATTTCTGAAGACAGTTCAGTTTGAAGAGAAGCAACCTCTGGTGCTTAGTAAGAGGATGCTGATTCAGCATTTTCACGTGACTCAGAACGTCATCCCTGTACAGATTCGTAGATTCGTGAGGCTCTAGCAAGACGCGACTTCCTTCACTCCCATCGCGCCTCCCGCAGCCTTTCTCTCAACCCTAATTGAAGCTCCGGGTGGATTGAGTATTGTAGTAAGTCTATTCATCACCAATCTTGAATATTGTAACGCGGCATTGTCGTATGAATGCTAAAATGAATGCATCCACAGATTATCACCCAGCCCCCGAGGACGTCTTCAGTGACTCCCCACCCACAACTCCTCCGCGGTCTCGTCGCAGAAACGAGCCATACCACAAGCCGGAATCCAGTGGACGAAGCTTTCGAGACCGCGAAGTATTAGGTGCGAAGGATTACTGCGAATCCTCGGAATCATCCCCTGAAACCCATTCGAATCCACGAAGTTCTCGGAAAAGAAAGGCATTAAAAGAGGAGAAACGTTCCGGGTCTTCTGAATCATCCTCTCCACCTCACAAAAAGCGCGTACGTTCTAGAAAACAGGCAGTCAAAGAGCAAAGCGACTCTGAAGATCCCGACTTGGTTGTCGCCCGACGATTGGACCTAAATCTGAACAAAGGACTTCGCGATCGGACAAACTTAGAACCGGGAGTTATTTAGAGTCCAGCACATCGTCTAGCTCAGAGCCTTCCTGGGCAAAAGGGTGGAGCGAAGAGAAAGATTCCAGCGCAGAAACACAGTCAAGCGAACAGAAGAAGTCGACCAAGGAGAAGGAATTGACCGGAAAGAAAGAATCGATACCAGTCGAGAGTACAATAGAAGTTGATACGGGGAGCTTTCTACCCAACGCTCTCCCGAAACAATTGCACAGACATCTATTGAAGGGAGTTCGCGACTGTACTAGAGTTGATGACAAGAAGAGAACTCAAGACGAAAACAAGAGTACCCACAAAACTTCTATTCTTGTGCGAGAAGCTCGAGATTCCATTAGTGATCTTTTCCGAATCGTAAAGGAGGCTTCTCCAGATCGCAACGGACTCTCAAGCTTAGAGCACAGCCCGGAGCTTAAAAAACAAAAGTTTCCAAGCAAAGGAGGTCGCCCAAGAAAGCGTAGGGAAGCCAAGAACCCAAGTTTCCCAGTCGATTTAGCTGGACTATCTGCATCTGAAGCACCGACACAACCAACCCCCCCTCACCCCAAAGTCGACATGGCGCCTACTGTAAGAGCATATAGCCTCGTCGTAACTTAACACTAACAGATTATAGTATAGAAATCAAAATCGGCGGCAGAACAGAACAGGTGTCATTGACCATGATATCTATGAAGGTATTCCAGTTCGCCAATGGCGTCGTGAATATGTTACCGTGGCACCTCCCCCAACTCAAGACAGTACAACCTCTCAAAATGATATCTGGGCTGTTGAACTTCCACACGGTATGCCAAAGGACTCACATCTCTTGCCGCAGCACAGTCAAGATCTCTTAAGGGCTGCCCGATCCGGCAGGATATATAAACGACCCGCTCCACCAGAAGAGGAGGAAGCTGATCCCGAGGCAATCCTTGGTGACAAGCCAGAAAAGAAGGAAGAAGATCCAAAAGACAAAGGCTTCACTGCCAAAGCATGGAAACCGGCACCTCGTCACCTGGATCTGACAGATAACGATTATTTGGCCAAGAAGAGAAAGAATTTGGTCCCCAAGAAGCCAAATCCTCCTCCCGTGATAGCGACTGTGACAAAGACAACTGTGAAGCGAATTGATGCTGCTGGAAACGAGTATGTTCAGGATGTGGTTGTACCTCATGGTCAAAAAGTAGAAGGAGAAGTCATTGCACAAACAGTCATTCCAGATCCAAGTGCAATCGCCGATCCGTTCACTGCACAGCCGACACCACCTAAGCGTAAAGGAGGTACATCGAAAAAGAAGCTCAAGGGACCAGGAAGAGGCAGAAAGAAGAAACAGCAGCAACTTGCTCCTACGAGTGCCCCTCAACCCGCACCGGTAGATGGTGTAGTACAAAGCACGCCTGTTGAGGGAGTTGTAGGAGCTGAGGGCATGAAGATCGAGGCCGATGCAAATGGAACACCGACAAATAACGAAGACACAGAAATGGGAGAAGGGTCCATGGCTGCCTCTGACGACGATGATGGAGATGATGGAGATGATGGCGAAGACGGTGATGACGGAGACGATGATGAAGGATCCGACGCCCAAAACTCTCCATCAAAACGTCCAAGGACGACTTCTCCTCCTCCAGGGTCATTACCACCTATTTCTTCAATCCCAGATCTGGCTCAGCCTGACACAATCATGGGTGGGACTGAGCTTGCTGGACCTGCGAAGATTTTCACGGACCGAGAGAAGTCCGAAGGGAAATCGGGTAGTCCATTGAAGACAGTCGCCTTGACAGCATCGGCTCTTACGTCGCCTCATGAATCACCAACATTTGCAGGTCCAGCAGGAACATTCCCAGAACCTGCACATCAAAGCCCAGTTACAGCTAGTACGGAGGTGTCAGATCTAAATGAAGTGATGCAGCAAGAGGTAGTTGAAAGCGCGCCAACAATACTTCCTCCGCCTCCTCCTGAACCCACGGAAGCCGAGGTCGAAGCTGCCGTGGAAATGCGTCAAGAGGAAGAGGAGGAGGAAGAAATGCTACTTGATATTCAAGACAATGCCAACAACGCACAGATTGGTGGTCCGGAACCAGTAGCTCCAGAACCAATCGTCTCAGAACCAGTCATCTCGGAACCTGAGCGAGAAGTTATCGTGGAGAAGCTTCTAGTGGAAGTGGTTCCCGTAGAAGTCATTCCCACCGAAATCATTCCTCCCGCAGTTGCTCCTACGGAAGCCGTTCCTATCGAGACCATTCCTGCCGAGGTTGTAGAAACTGTCGAAATTCCCAGCGTGGTGCAGACCGTTATAGAGCCACCTGTTTTGCAACCAGTTGAGGTGACCGAAATAGGTGAAGTAGTCGAAGAAAGAAAAGCCGAAGAGCCAGCACCAGAACTAGCGCCTGTATCAGCGCCAGTGCCAGAATCGATACCGGCTCCAGAAGCCGATGACGACGATGACAATTATCCAGATTTATTAGGCGGACTCGAGAGATCGTTGGAGAAGAAAGAAGCGAAACAGGAGAAGGTGGAAACTGAGGATGGGAAAGAGGCTGAGCCAGCTCCAGCAGTTGAGTCGTAGTGATGAATTTATATCAGGGTGCTTTATTTGTTGTATTCACAGGAGGCAGGAAGGGAGTCAAATATCAATATATGCAAGGACGTGAGACGGAGTGTATGGATATAGCCAAAGGAGTATTAGGATAGCTGGAAGAAATGATTACTATCACCCTGACAAGTATGAATACATCGTGATTCATTTCCCTCTAACTCGGTTGTCGACAAAGTGAATGAATAGTTGGCAAGGAAATAAACCACCCTGAGAAGAAAATTTTGTTACAATGCCGTCCCTTGTATCCTCGGCAAAGACAGCACGCTGGAAAATCAACATTTTGACAGTCATGTCACATACAGAAGTAAAGTGAATGGATAATCCACGCCAGAAACCAGTCCACAATTACGCCAGAACTCAAGGTCCAGCTATAAAATACACCTCTTGTCATATACTTCTCTTCTCTCCCTTCGAGTATTGGGGAGACACGGTCAATGGACCAAGAGAGTCCATCTGTTGGTAACGATACACATGTTCCTCGTAGAAAACTTCCTTTCAACCTCCCACTTGACAGAAATGAAAGGCGTTCATCCTGGCTCACGCTTGAAGAGCGATAGAATAGGAATCCAGAATGCGTCGAGTGTGGGTTGCCGATAACACAGGGTTTATTGTCAAGTCATGAGGTGTTGCCACCTATTTGAGTGTCGTTCATGAGTGGACCTGTCGTTTCGTGCGAGGTAACGTGAGGGCCCCGGGTTTCTTTTCAGCGTATGGTGCGAGGGCTATTTTCAGGAGCCGGGCACAAAGGCACGGGAAGGCCTCTTCTTCGTCGATTGTAGGCATTTGAAGGTTGAAGGATCGCTGAGAGGGTCTTGGGCCAAGTTTATATACTGAGGTAGAGAGAGGGGGAGAGAGAGAGAGAGCTAGTTAGTCACACGGCTGAGATGGTGAATGTGAAGCAGGACAGAAAGTTCGCAGACGGTGAATGATAAGTATATTTCTTGATCGTGGTGAATAACAATACTCTAAATCTCACAGTTTCGAAGAAGAAAATAGCGCTCCTAAACCTGTTCCTCTGCTGGTTAGAGAAGGGCGTTGAAAGCCCCCCTCGTCTAAAATGTGGCAACATCAATGAGACTTGGCACAGCAGGAGCCTCCATGTTCTTCTTTGCCTCATGATCTCGGTCTTTGTGAGCAGGCACGGTAACCAGAATGGCGGCGTGAGAATAGCACCAATCAAGCTCTGCTTCGTTGCCATAGGCGATACTCACCATAGCCACTTCCTCTTCACGGGCCGTGTTGAGCCACGTTACATCTTTGTATTCGTCGTGGGGCCATATTTTATGGAGATTCTAGAAAGTGTATTAGTGACAAATACGAAGCAATATCGCAGACTTCCAGTGGTAGACTTCCGACCAGGCTAGTGGAGCAGAAGTAACATACCTTCTCAACCTTATCGTAAGCTATATCATAGCCACCATCGGCATCAAGAACAACCTTGTGAAAAGTAGCTCCTACTCTAATCTTCCTTTCGTAATCTGGTGAGTCCGAATCGTAGTCTGCAGAAGCGTAGTATTCATCGACTTGCTGTTCTTCAAGGTTCTCAAGCTGGCGGTTATTTTCGAGAATTGGACCGACACGGACATCCAGGCCAAGGGAGCTGAACACACTGTAGATTGCAACATCCACACCCTTTAGCGCCCATGACATCAGAGCGTGGGCTCGGGAGCTGTGATGGGCGTATTTGTAGGCACAATAGAAACCGAGGTTGCCACCTTGGTTATGTTAGTCGAGGATTGGTGTCATGAAGTAGCAGGAGACATGCCTTTATTCATGAAGTTTGGTTGAGACAACATTTGCTTCGCTCCCTCATACAATGGGAAAAGGGATGGGTCGATAGTAGGGTTGCGTCTCAAAACGCCGCCGACTTGCTCAGTGATATACAGATTGTAGGTGAGAGTAATCCTATGACCGCTCTTCACTTCAAAAACTTCGTGCTCACAGTCACTATAGAAGGCTGCCCATTGGATGTCGTGACTATCGGTGTTGCTCCAGTCGAAGAATGAGGAGTGACCCTTGTGGGAGACGCGGAGCTGGCCACCTGCATAATGTCAGTACACTACACTGCCCGACTCGTTTGTATGGTACTGCAAATGTCTTGACTCAAAGGACAATCAAGCCTCTTGAAAAAGAAGTCTCAGGTATCTCATTAAATGTCATCGGAGTGACGAATTGAAACTTGAGCTGTAGTACACACGGCGTGCTGGTAAATTCTGATCAAGAAATGCTTACCTTCGTGTGGATGCGGAAGACATACCACGAGCGAGCCGAACTGAGTTGGGCCTCTCGGAGTGTCGACATGACCGCGGAATTTCCCCGATGGTCCAGAATAGATCTTAGAGTGTTAACATCAAGCTTGCACGGCCTCTGGTGGACTTACGTTCACTTTGTACAGCTCAGCCAGCAAACCACGATGCTCGACTCTCTCCTTGAGAAAGGCTCCGTCAATCTGGGGCAACAGGGTCTGGGCAATGGCATCGACAATTCCGTAATCATGAGGATGAAAATTAATAGAGAACTGCTCTCGATCAAGCTTTCCAGCCTTTCGGTAGCTTTCATCCAGGATGTCCTCATTGTTGCGTCCAAAAGTAGCTGGGGCGCACGTCTTCAGAAGTTCTTCGAACATGGTTTGAGCCAGGATCTGACTGTCCGAATGGACCAAAGGAAATTCAACCTTTCGCGCAGAGCCTTGGTCTTGTGATACATCCCATCGAAGAGCGATGGTGTTCTGAGTCTTGTTGGGGTCCAACTTCTTTGAGCTAACGTACAGGGGCTGGGCTATGGATGGTATCGTGATGGGAAGACTACCACCACAGCAGTAATTGGCTGTAGACTGGTAGCCCTCGACGGCAGCCGACAAAGAATCCAGACAACGTTCTTCTGCAAGTTCAGACAATGTCTTTGACTTATGGGGTTTCTGCTGCGGGGATTCGTCGTCACTGCTGATGACAACGACGTCCATGGGGGTTACTTCGCTGGAATCCATTTTATTCATCGAATTTGGACTCGTGTACGTGCTATCAACGAAATTGGAATTGGAAAATGAAGGCGACTGACTACAAAATGAGAAGGTGACAACTGGATACTTATATTAGATGGGACTCTACTCGGTAATACCATGTCTAGTTTAGGCAACACGCGCCCTCATTCCACGGAAAGGACACGAAAACACATGACCGAGGGTGCCTGCTGTGGCTTTCCAATAAAATGACAAGCTTGATGGTAGATGTTACACAAATGTGCACCTTGCCGTGGATTTTCAGGCAGTGAAATGAGAGGCCGGACAGCAGGTTTCAGATTAGATACAAGCAAGCTGGGATCGCGGAAATAAGCAAACTTTTGCTCCAGCGAGCACAGCTCCATTGTAATCCGTCTCGAGATTGAGATGTTCAAAATGTTTCAATGGTTGAGAGAAAACTTGGAAACTTCAAACCTCAAAGAAATCTGGCAAGGGAGTGACCAAGCCAAGCTTAGCGCCAATGTCAGGAACCGCCATTTCGAGCAAGCGCTAAAGTTACCCCACCATCAAAAACCTCACAACAAAGAATCCACCGAGAACCTCCTCAAACCACCTCCACCTTGATCTGATCCAGCCGGATCAAAAGGAATATGGCAGATACGGAGGCATCCACCCGCGCTGGACGTCCGAGCTTCGGTTCAAACATGCGCAGCCGTTCTTATCTGCAAGAGCATCAACAGTATCGACCACCGCAGCAAGATGGGCACCAAGGCATTGACAGCATTGTCGAGGGCATGCAGAGCACCAAGATTGACCAGAGCAAGCCAATCCACAAGTACAACGGTGTACCATCGCCCAAGTCGCCTCCAAAAATCATCGACAGCGGTCTCAGCCACACTTTGTCGCATACGAACTGCCAACCTGCACCGGGCACTTACTCAGATCGTCTCATCGCAACCATTATCTACAAGACTCAGTCTCCCCGAGCAAAAATCACCGACATACCTCTAGACCGTACTCCGTCTCCAACAGCTCCGACTACATCCCGAACTCTACCTCCAAACCTCGCACCTGTCCGAACTCTCTCCAACTTTCCCCTCGAACCTCCTCCTCCAGACCCAGAACCTCTCGACCATTTGTACGGAAGTTATATCTCGCCACTATGCTTGACTTCCTTCCTTCACCTCATTACTTCTCTTCCGACGAGACAAGGCTCGGAGACTCTCACGTCCTCCCATCGCTGCCTCGACAACCCCGAGCATCCATGCATCGTGGAGCTTACATTTTCGCCATCTCCCGATCCCACCTATGTCGACTTAGATGACCTGCGAAAACATGAACTTATCTACCGATTCGAGCGCGAATGGAATGTGGATGTTATCCTCCAACTCGACACCGTTCTCCGCCGCTATCCGCGACTGGTATGCTTCGATATGGATTCTACACTCATCGAGCAGGAAGTGATTGATCTCATTGCTGCGTCCATTGGCGTGGAAGCAGAGGTTTCAGCCATCACTGCACGAGCCATGAATGGAGAGCTTGATTTCTCCTCGTCATTCAAGGAGCGAGTCAAACTTCTCAAGGGTTCTCAAGCGGATATCTTCACCAAGTTGCGATCAGTCATCAAGCCAACCAAAGGTGTTTTTGAGCTGATCAAGGCACTGAAACGCATGGGGGTCAAGACTGCTGTATTCTCCGGCGGCTTCATACCCCTCACTCAATGGCTAGCTGATGAGCTTGGCATGGATTACGCTTACGCCAATACCATCGAAGCCGATCCTGCCACGAACCTTCTGACTGGAGAGGTCATTGGTACCATTGTGAATGCTGAAAGAAAGCGAGACTTGATGCTTGAAATAGCCGAGAAGGAGAAGATCCCTCTGGAACAAGTTGTCGCTGTTGGCGATGGAGCAAATGATCTCCTAATGATGAAGGGTGCAGGACTGGGAGTTGCGTGGAATGCCAAACCTTTGGTGCAGATGGAAGCCAAGGCCAGACTGAATGGCGACACTCTACTGGAATTGCTTCACATATTTGGCCTTACGGCAGAGGAGGTTCAAACCCTGATTCAGTAAAGATGCATAGACAAGTCGAGGAGTTTGGAGAGCTTGGGATACTTCAAAAGAGCAGTCCCTTCGTTGTGTTGTTCTATTTATGTTATGATCAATGATTGCTTGGGCGGTGAGTTGGACATGCTGGCGAGACGGAGCCTATGGTAGGATTGCGGAATAGAAGTTTTTTTTTCACCGAATCCCCTGTAGATTTCTTTAGGGGTCGAAAATGGAATTGAGGTTATTTGTCCGCATGTGGCAAGGTCCCACGTTTTTGATTCCTTGCAATTTACTCCGGGATCAGCCTCGCGGGGCAAGGCTACCACGATGCGAGTTGGTACAGTATGACGGTATGATCGCTCTTTGATCCACATTAGTTGCTTGAGCGCATGTCGCAATGACCTTGAAAGCTTCCCGATTCTCCGAAAGTCTCGGAGGAGGAAAGTCTCCACGACAGGGACCCCGAGTCACGGGTTATGGCGTGCTGTCAGGTCAAGCTGCAATCGCCTGTTCCTAGACAAAGGAGGCCGGCAAAGAATTGAAGCAGACCGGGCCAGACTTTTGGAGCAAGAGAAGGTGCGCCTTTCAGCAACGCCACCATTATTTTTCCTCACTCGCGCAATCAATTATTCCTTTGTGTAATTCTTGAGCGGTGGTGTCACAGTTGGCTACTTGTCAGCGCTCGCAACCTTAACCTGAAGTATTGCACAATTGGGGTGCTTCACAATGTATGATGTTATGCTTGACTGATGAGTAGATGTCGGTGCGACCAATGAGCAGCAGCCAGCAGTTCCTGGAGGAAAAGCGAAGTTCCTACCTTAGGCTGCCAGATTTCTAATCCGCGATACCATATCGGGACTAGCGGTGATCACGCCATTGAAATGCAAACGGCCTTTCGAGCAAAATCCTCATCTGCGATGGCGAAATCGGCACCAGTCGAACTTCGCTTGGAAGGAGCCAAACAAAGCATTATGAGCCCCGGGTCCTGAAGAGCGGATGTTTGAGGACTAAGGCTAAGTTGAACGGGGTAAGAGTGCCTGCTTAGAAACTGTCATTGGTAATATGTCGTGCTTGCGGTCCACATTTGTTCATTATCTTCTCTCTTCTTCCCTTATTAATCCTTCTTCTTCATATACTTGCCCCTCACCCGCATTCCTGTTGTCTTCAGACGTCATATGTATTGTTCAGACAACACTGCTATAATTCAATTCCATGACCTTTCTTCTGAACTTCACTCTTGAGTTCGCTTGAGTTACTTCCCTTCTCAGAAGAATCACCTCGATCACGACATCGAAGGCAGCTATTGCACCATAATTACTCCGCATTCTACATATACACCTCTTCCCCAGCTTTCAAAACAACTTTCCTATAGGTCCCCCACGCAAGAGCCGCAAGCCACCAATACAACACAATCACAATGGGCGTCCACCGCGAATCAGCCAGCTCGAACCTCGAGTCTGGATACGCCTCAGGCGCCTCCTCAGAAGGAAACCTCCCCCAAATAATCCTCACCAAACAACACCTCAAATTCCTCAACAACACCCTCAACAACCTCACTCCCCTCGAAGTCCTCCGCTGGGCAAAGATCACCTTCCCCAACCTCTACCAAACCACCGCCTTCGGCGTCTCCGGCCTCGTCACCCTCGACATGCTCTCGAAACTGCAGACCGAGACCCCATCCGCGCCCACCATCGACGCCATATTCCTCGACACACTCTACCATTTCCAAGAAACGCTCGACCTGGTCGAGAAAGCGAAGGCGCGGTACCCGAACGTGAACCTGCACGTCTACAAACCAGAAGGCGTCTCCACGCCCGCCGAATTCGAAGCGAAGCACGGCAAAGAGCTCTGGAAGACAAACGCGGAATTATATGACTGGGTCGCTAAAGTCGAGCCGGCGCAGCGCGCGTATTCGGATCTGTCCGTCGCGGCGGTGCTGACGGGAAGACGGCGCTCGCAGGGCGCGAAGAGGGAGAGTCTTGATATCGTCGAGGTGGATGAGGCGGGGCTGATTAAGATTAATCCGTTGGCGAGCTGGTCGTTTCGGGAGGTCGAGGAGTATATCCGGGAGCATGACGTGCCGTATAATGAGTTGTTGGATCGTGGGTATAAGAGTGTGGGCGATTGGCATAGTACGGAGCCGGTGAAGGAGGGGGAGGATGAGCGGGCGGGGCGGTGGAAGGGGACGCAGAAGACGGAGTGTGGGATTCATAATAAGAGGAGTAAGTATGCGCAGTTTCTGATGGAGATGGAGCAGAAGAGGCAGCAGGAGGAGTTGGCGGCGGCATTGGAGAAGGTTGATGTTAGTGATGAGATTGTTGTCTAGAGTGGTGGGCTCATGGTGCATTTTTGGGAGTTGGTCGGCGTTCGTGGTGATGGGGTGGCTCATATCATGATGGATGGCGTTGGGGATATCTGATGCATTAACAGGCTCTGGTTGCTCTCGTTTCTCGTTTTAAAGCTCAGAAGTATAGCATTTGCATTGCTGGCATCCTTTAGTGTGTCTCAAAAAGCATCTTGAGCATTCATGGCTGCATATCAGCTGATAGAAAAATAAATATCGAGTTAAAAATACCTTACTCCTTTGACCATTGATTCATAACTTATTTCTTAGTAGTAGAAGCTCTTATTCATTTGTAAATCTAAAACAATCTACGACTTCGAAGTCAATCCATCTCTAAGTTCATCTCAGCCATCCTCCGTATCTCTTCCCATCACTCCAACACCCCTCTCATCCCGCACGGTCCTCCCTCTGCTTCAACCCTATCTTCACGTCACTTAACCTTATCCCAACCTCTTCCACCTCTCCCATCTTCCTCCCCCTCAATCCTCCCTCTCCCTCAATCCTCCCTCTCCCTCAATCCTCCCTCTCCCTCAATCCTCCCTCTCCCTCAATCCTCCCTCTCCCTCAATCC